ACAAATTTAATTACTTTATTATGTATATATTTTAAGAAATGTTATAAGTACCGACCTATTTCAAAAACAATAAAAGTAACTCAGAAATTGATTGCAATTGAAAGAAAATATTAAAATTCAAATTAATAAAAAATTAAAATCTTTTATACTTGAATAGAATAATTAAAACTTTTACTATTAAATATTACAATTTTTACACAATATACATATATGTATATGAAAATGCAAAAAACAATTTATAAACATATATAACGTATATTGTATTTAATTTAAAAACACAGACGCCTGAATTAATAATTGAAATATGATAGACGAAATAAAAAAACTAAAAATAAAACAAATTAATAAAGACTCTTCTACTATAATAATTAATAAAATGTATACGATTATTGTGGACATTGTGTACAAAAGAAAAGAAATGCGAAACTATTTTGAGAAATTATAAGGTAAAATTTAACAATAAAAATTAGACCTTGTATAAATTTTATCCAAGGTTATATAAAAGAAATGGTTTGAGACGGGTGTGTTCGCATGTTTTAATAATAACAATAATAAGTCTTGAAAATTATCATTAGTTATGATTTTGTTGCGTTCCTTAAGATTTCTGGTAGTATAAAATATTTGTGGTGTGTATTTCTTTTTCTCAAAATGCTCTGCTAATTTAACCAAATTTATAATCTTCTCACAATCACTGATAAAAAGATTATAAAAACAATTATTCATTAAAATCAAATAATCCAATTATATTCTAAATTTTAATTTTATTTGAAATTGTTCTGAAATGTAGACTGATTATTTTAGTTACCGAATTATTTTAAAAACAAAAATTATTCTTAAAAATTTTTATGTTTTGAATTTTTAATATTTAACCTTGTACAATACTACCTACTTTATTTTAGTTATATGCTACCCAGAAGCCACATTATTTGACAGGTTCACAATTTTATTTACACCACAAAATCAAAACACTTCAATTTTTATTTCACCTTCTTTAATACTTAACAACAGTTTTTCATGGATCCATACAGATTATAACTACATTATACTAGTATCTATATAATCCCTATGGCATACAAGGCTCCACAAGTAATTTAAAAAAAAAATTTATAATTTTATACATTCATTATCAATATGCATGTAGAGGTAAGTAGATATACCTATGGTGTTATGTATTATAAACCTCTACATAACATACAACAATATGTATTATACGTTTTATTGGATAATAACACAAAGCTTAACATACTTTTATATTAGTTTTCATTTCTTTTATTATATTTATTTATTTATTTATTTTCCATATTTTACAAAAACTGGGTTTTAACTTTAAATTATTCAGTTTCGTTTCTCTTTTCTATAATAGAAGAAAACTATATACATATATATAGAAATAAATCTATAAAATATTTAATATTTCTCTAGAGAAATATTCTCAGAAAAGTTCATTAAAATTCTAGTATTATATTCACATAAATAAACAGAACGCTAATTGATACACTGAATTGTTTTGTTTTCTCTTATATTTGTAGTTAGAATTTCTTCACAAAATACAAAAATCAAGGAGCAAAATATAAAAATTTATGAGGAGAAAAAATAACATATTATGTGAATTAAATAAAAAAAAAAAACAAAATTCTTCCAAAACTGATTGGAAAATATATTTAAGAAATCAAAAATTGCAAAAACTCCAAAAACTAAATAAAATATTATTAATTATTTTATATGAAATCTTCATTGTAATAATTTAGCCTTTTCTTGTTTTAATATTTGGTTAGGTAGGTAGGTATTATACCCATTCCTTTGATTAGAATTATGAATTCACAATCTTAGGTGGATAAGTGAGTAGAGCGTTACCCGCATACCTACCTATGATTGTGGTTTTATTTCATATTTAGTTTACCCCATAAGCTACTTCATTAACCAACTTATTCAGTATTAAAAAAAAAGAATTATGAGAAGCTTATTTAATAATATTTTGTACAATAATTCTAATTCAATTATTACTAATGCAAAATAAAATCAAATTATATTACTTATTACTTAAAAATTATGTATGTATGTAATTTCTTATTTATTCTAAATTAAAAACTTAATAGAATCATTATTTTAGTTTTGATATTAATTCTAAAGTAATAAAATAAAACCCACCTACTTAAATATTTATGTTCGATTCACGGAACTTTAAATCTTAAAATTGAAATTAAATGAATTGAAACATTAAGTGAATGCAAGATAAACCAGTGGACCTTTTTAATTACAAATTTACAAATCTAAAGTTTTAAAGGTATTACAAATCTAAATTTTTAAACCTATGTTTATAGAATATTTGGGTAGGTAGGTCAATCTAACAATCAAACTCAGATAATTGTAGTACCTACCTAGATGCAATGAGTAATTACGAATTTAATTTAAATAGCCCTATGTTCTCCTATTTGCACATATCTCTACTACCTATATAAAGATTACACAAATTACTAAGTAAGTGCACATGTACTGTATGATTATAGTTATACTCCTTATATTTTAGTGTACACAATAGCAGGGAAAATTTCTCAAAACTATCTAATTAAAATATTCCAATTTTCGACTTTATTTAAAGATTGCATACATTTAGATAAACAATAATTTTAATATTGAATAAAAACATAAAAAATTTTATTTTTCAATACAGAGCCTAACAAAACAAATTAAGCATAAAAATTCTTTAAAAATTTTTTTTTCTTTAGAAACATAAAATTTTAGTTTTGAATAATTTTTTATTTAGTAAAATTCCACTTTTTTAAGAAATATTTATTCATAAATAATTGAAAATTAGTTTTAACACACTTTTAATTTGAAAACAACCATTATTTTTATTAATTATTGAATACTCTTTTTTTTTGTTTATATGGCTTCCAATTCAAATCACCATTTGTCAAAATTTTTCGCTTTCTAGTAGAACATAACAAGTGTTTGTGTTTATTAAATTTTTCACAAAATAATGTATACTTATGAATAATAATAACATTTCTTAATATTTTACTTATTAAATAATTAAATTATAAAAAACTTACCAGTTACTGAACTTTCACAATAACCGAAAAATAATAATAAAATTATTATGTTTGCACAAAACATTTTTTTAAAAAAATTAATTCATCAATAATTGCGTTAGCAACATTTGATATTTATTAGAAATCTAGTTAGCAACTTTTATGAAAACTTCACTCCATTTAAAGTTTTGACAGCAATTTCTTGCACAATTTGACTTTACATTTACAATAGATTTGTTTTTTATAGAATTCACAATAATCAATAACTTTGATTAGAAATTAATATTTTTTTTTAATTTTAAATTTTTCAATGTAATATTTGATAAACTTTCAGTTTAATTTTAGATTTTAATTTTATTTTAGTTTAGTTAGTTAATTTTATTTAGTTTAATTTTAGTTAAAAATTTTTTTATTAAATATTTAAACGGTAAATAAAGTATTTACTTAATTATTATATTATTATTATATTTTTTGTTTAACTGAATCTTATTGAAAATGTGAATTTCTAATATGCATTTGTCATAGATTGTTATTAATGTATTTTCATTATTTCATACTTAGTATATTATGACTGTTAGAATATAACACATTACCAGTGTATTTAAAATCGGGTACGTAAACCATATCTAAAAATTAAAATCTTAAATTTTTTTAAGAATAAGTTAATTCCTTTTTAAGTGCGAAAACCAACAAACTGAATTTTCCACTAAGGTTACCTAATGTTTGCATAACTGACATAAAATTGTATTAAAATTACAAAAAAAATTCATTTATAAGCATTTGAAAAGTTTTATTTTACAAAGTTAATTGAAATATTAAATGTTTAAATCATATTTTAAATTCATTTTTTGTAAATTTAGTAATTTCCTATCAATTCAAAAGTCAATAGAATATCAAACTTACTAAACTATTCGAAATAGTTTTCAACCAAATTTTGAATTTTTCATTGTGAATACTTCATTTTATACATAGAAAATAAAAATTATAAAAACTGGTACTTTTTTCGATTGTAGATTGAAAACTTTTGACAGCCGTGAAATATCGATATTATGGTAGCTTAATATTAGATGTGAACCAGCTATACTATAATATTATTCGGAATATAAACTCAATTTCAATACATACTATGTTTCATAGCCTAATATTCCAATTCACAATAGCAAATTTGGCTGTAAGAGCACTCTGGTGGCAAATATATTAGCAATTTTTTCAATTTAAAATTTTCAAAATTTAATATTTGATACGGAAAAAAAGGTAACAGAGGAAAATTTTGTAATATTTTGAAAATTTAAACAAACAACATTAATAATTTTCTATGCTCCTAGTTTAGTACTATAATATTACATGTCTGTTAGTTGTATTACAATAAATGCTAAAAATGTAAATATACACGTACTTTATCCTATTTTTAGATTATAAATAATTTCTTTTACATGGACTATTGATTCTAAGTAGCATCTAGCAGCAAATAGAAAAAGCTTAGTTTTACACGAGATCTCATGAAATTTATCAAAACTTATATGAACTAGAACTACGCTATGAACATTCAGAAAGTGTAGTACGTACGGTAAATACTTGATCACATAACGGTTGACGCATATAACTACATTTTATTAGGCAAAACTTCAAATATATAGCGGTAAAATACAAAAAATTTAATGTATTGTACTTGGAAAAGTTGACATTACAAAAACTTAAAAAGAAAAGTTATTTGTTTGTTTTTTAACGTTTCTGCTAATTATTTTAGTACCATTTTTATTTATTTAACTAGATAATGTAAAAATAAATAAACTTAACAATTTAAGAAAAGAAGAATGTCGATAATAATGTTTAAAAGTATGACAAAAGCATTATGGTACACAATTAGAATTTTAGATTATATAAAATTTATCGCACTTTATAATATCGAACCTCTGTTTCCATCACTGTAAATTAATTAAAATTATATTCTCAAAATATGTGTGTAAATTAAAAAATTGTCCCAGATTGTACCGCTTCTATTTCATAATATAATAGAGATTGTTTTGCAAAATCTTGATCGATACTATGATTCAATAAACCAACTTCCAAATTAATTTGCTGAATATCTTCTTTTAACTTAGCTATCGATTTTTTCAAATTTATAACCGGACCTAAAAATTTAAATATGATAAAATTTTTGTAACTATTTTTGTAACTAGTAGTAATTGTCAAATAATTTCTTACTTCCATCGGACATGGATTGGCCACGTTGATCCATTAAATTTTTTACAACGTCGTTCTCAGCAATAACTGAATTAAATTCGCTTGTAATATTTTCTTGTTCTGAGTTTATTTCCTTTATTGTTGCTTGGATATTTGAAAGTTCTGTAGATAATTCCTTAAATTTTACAATTAAGGTCTGAAGTTCATTATTTAAGTGTCTTTCTCGACTCTCTACTTTTTCCATTTCATATGTAATGTCACTTTGTAATTTTTTTAACTGATTGTATGTTTCATCACTACACTAAAATATAAAATAATGTTAATACCTATTACAAATTACATAATTAAAAAATTAAACAAAATTTGTATTAAAATTTTACTTCATCTATATTTGCTTTTAAAGTAGTCATTTGCTTTAAATGTGTACGCCAATCCCTTAGATCAGATTTCACCACTATTTTCAGTTGCGGTAAAACTCGTTCCAATTCAAGCCTCCAATTTTCAATTTCATTTAAACTATCTGAAGGTTGAAAATTCAAATTTTTATTTTTTGTGAGTTCCGATGTTCTTTTAGTTTGTGTTGCTGTCCAATTTAATTGTAGTAAATATTGTTCTTCACCGTCATCTGTATCATCACTAAGTAACTCATTTTGCTCTTCTTCAACTCTTTCTAATATAACTTCAGCATCATTTTCAGCATACTCTGGTAAGGTTTCTTCTTCCTCTTTGATATGCAAATGATTCAAAGTAACCTAAATTTTTTAATTTTAACAGTTATATCATGTAATATAATTAGGTTGGAAAGTACCTACCTTAGATATTTTTAAGGCCTGTGTAGCAAGGCAATCTAAAACAAATAAGCATATCGGTCCAGCGCCCTGTATTAACTTGTTTGATGGAAATTCAGTAGGGATTTCCTAAAAAACATTTAATATGAAAACTCCAATCAAAGGATTATTGGTATACCAAAAATTAACTCACAACTTCCTTCAATACATTGATTATATCCGTAATTACAGTGTTAGGGTCATCAAATTCTTCTGGCTGTTTAAAATTTTTACCTAACATACGAATGAGCCAAGCACATATTGATATGAACATAAAAAATTGTTCGCCTGGATTTATTGATTTAATAAAATAGAATTTATGTGGTGCCTTTATCCGCATATCACGTAAAATTTGATTTTCATAATTAAGCAATTTTAATTTCTCCATCAAATCTTCTGATTGAAACGTTAGTACAGACAGTATATTATTCTGTTCTCTTTCCAATGCAGCTTCAAATTCCAATAATAGTTTAGAATTTGTTGACATTTTACAAAAATATAAATTAAAAATGCAATAAGTAGAAATAGTTTATTTATTATTTTTTTTAATTTTAATTTCTGTACTTTCTTAAATACTTGCAAATTACAATTTTATTTTGATTTAACAGTTGCTATTGGTTACCATTGTCATAACAAAACAAAATTTAAAAAAACAGAAATGGAAATTTACATTCCACAATACCACTTGTTGAACGATTTTAATAGTGACATCTATTGTACACTAAATGTAAAATGAATTACCTACACATCGTTCGGGTCAAGCAAAATGCACAATTCGCATTGTATCTTTCTCATTTTAACAGCCATGACCTCCTTCAAAAATGAGAACATTGTCATACAAAAAATAAAGCAAAACTCATGACCTTTTTAAAAATTAAGTACTTAATATACTCTTTTTTTATATTCTTTTCTTAGAAACATTATTATCCTTTTAGCTTTACCTTCTTCTCTATCTAGTTATTTTCCTCTTCCTCTCATTCATTTTATTCTTAGTCATTTATTTTATATTCCTATATGTCAGCTATATAATATTGAAGATGTGTTGATGTCATATTATGTGGAATTACAATAAGAGAACAGTGTTTCATCTCAATCTCAATTATATTTCGAATTTATTATTACAACATTTATATTACTATTAGTTTTTGTGAGTAAAATAAGAATTACATAAACTTGTTTATATAGTTTAAGCTATTTGAAGGGTAAATTAATAATTGAATAATATTATATATTATTATTTACATATATAAGTTATAAATATGTGCCCGGGAAGCTTATTTGTTTTCATGAAAATTATCTTAAATTTAAATTTAAAGTTTAAAGTTCACTAGTTCATCATGTGAGTTTTGAGCTCTTGAACTAAATATTTAAATATTAAATTCAAAATGATTATATTTTATTTATATTAAATACCTTTTATAACAGTTAATCATAATTTTCGATACTAGAAATAAAGCTTAGCACCGATTACATATAAAACATTAGAAAAATATTAATTATAAAAAATTTTATAAGAAAATCATTTCAGTGAACAATAATGGTAAAGGGATGTTTTTGCATAATTGCAAATTGCTGATTACCACCATAACAGTCAACCATGACCAATTCTAGCCACCCCAAATTGTTTTAAAAAATGTGAATTCGTCATAAATGTAATCACTTATTTGAACTTTGAATTTTGTTACTCGTATTTGACTCCTATAAATGATTGTATTCTCTCACAATGTTGTTTGCTATGGTATGAATTAAATATGCTTTCGACGCTTAAAGAGTATGCCATTTGTATGGAAAATTTAATTTAAATTTTTTCACGGGCCATTGTCCGGTGAGGTATCACCTTCATAGGCTGGGGAAATCAGGCTCTGTCCATTGCAGATTTTGCGGGGATAGTGATGAAACTGCAGTTCACATCCTTTGCAGCTGCCCGGTACTGGCTGTCCGGCGGCGCAATTGTTTTGGCGTTCGGGAACTGCTTTCCAACTCTCTTAGATATGTCTCCAGTTTCATACTCGGAACAGGGATATTGTAGACGGGGACATGGGGAAACTACAATAAGTCGCGAATGGCTGCGGTAGCAAGGAGGATACTTCTGCCCCACTCGGTTCCCTTAGAAATCTACAAATCCAATCTCTACCCTCTCCTGTTTTCCAATTTTTCAAATTCTCATTAATACTTTACGTTGTACGCAATATTATTAATTTTACTTTCATTTAAAATTTTTTAGAAAAACTCTTTTATTAATTCAAATTGCTTTAGAAAGAAAATATTTACAGAATATTTTATCGCAGTTTGTCAAGAAGCCAGTCATATCTACTTATACGTATGTATATGTATTAAGCATAAATATAATTATTTGCACTCTTATTTTCTTTTATATTCCTAATGTTATTTTAAATATTCGTGTTCTTATATTTAGAAGAAAACTTGTATATTTACATTTCAATTAGCAAACTAAAAAAAGGAAAAACTTAATGTAATTTTAGAAATTAGTCATATTTAAAAATAAATTCTCTGTATCTTTGATTTATTATTATTAAAATGAACGTATAGAAAAAAAGTTATTTTGCATATACCTACGTTCTATATTGTAAACTTTTATTAACATTACATTCTAGGTATTCTGGCATAACTCAATTACTGCCCATTTATACTTTCTTCTTTCTTAATTAAATACAGATGAATAGAGCGCTAGGTATATTGACAGCTCTCACTTATCTTACTTCAAAGTACAAGATATCTAAGGCGGCAGAAGCTAAAAATAAAATCGCAGGTGACTTTTTGTGTATAAACATTTCCGGAAGAAAAGCAAATCAATTTACCATTTTGTCTGATTTTATGATAGTTCTGTCTGTAACTTATAACTTAACTAACTGGGTAGTATAACATAAATAAACAATATAACAAAATTTTCTGATCTATTATTAATTTCGCTTACTATTACACGAAAAAAACCTCACATAGCTTTCACCAAACTTTTCCGAATAGCCGAAGTTCTACTGTATTGATAACAACTTTTTCACTGTACATTTTATAATATTACAAAATAGAACATTTAAAATAATCTTAGAATATATAATTAGTTAGCAAATAGTTAAGGTCATTTAAATATTTATTTAACATCTAAGCGAAAATTTGAAACTTTTAATCGTACACATTTGTAATAATTTTTCGCTATTTATTTAGCTATACTTATATGTTAATATTTTACTGGAAGATTTTCTTGCGAAACCTGTGTTATTTTTTTTTCGTATTATAAAAATGGGTACTTTTTTTTTAATAAATGTGAATTCTAGGAATGTACCTTCACCGACATAAATAAACTAATCATATCATCATATATTCTATACGGTGTATAGAGGTTATCATAAATATAATTTGAAATTTGTTTTGGACATTAATTCTCAGGAAGTGTATAATGTTCATGTGATTTGATATATTAAGCGGCTTGAAAATAATTCAATTTTGATAAAAATAAAATGATAAATGTAAAAATAATTTTTTAAAATGATCCAAGATTCTTCTTTCGTGTTTTGGAACAACGCTGTGTCCTGCCGTGTTGAATTGAGTCAAATGCCCTTGCCGTATTAACTCATGCTAACTAAATTGTTAATAGTATTACAGTGTTTCATTGACCGCCACATCCATGTCTTCTTCTATAATGAACTTTCTCTTCGCCCAGATTCAGTTTTATTTATTTTTTTCTTACTATTTTGTTTCCCTTATTTGGCAAATTTTTGCCGGACTGAACAAAATTAAAAGTTTTCAAATTAGTTTAAGATATTACAGGTAATTTTCTGATGATTTAGAATGTACTAAACAGCTGTAAACAATTTACAAAATTTTCCACATTACTCGGAGCCCACGGGCAAAAATGGCTGCTTTCATAACAGTGTCTGATACTCCAACATTTTTTCGTTCAAAGGTGCCATAATTTATTTACCATCCTCTCTTATAGAGATTATCTCTTAAAGATATAGCCTTTTATTTATTTATAAGTTTCGATCGTTTGCAGGGAAAAAGTTTCAAATTTTAGAATAATAGTTTTTCAAATCTGTTAGGTAAGTTTTTAAATACTATTGTAGTCTATATGATATATAACGAAGATTTGCCCAAATGTTAAATGGTTTTAATTATATTTACTTATATTCGAGATTCTTCCTTCTAATCATTTTCCAATTAGCACTAATTTGAAATTCTGATTAATTGTATATTAGAAACTGTTTTCAATACATTTATGTATATAAAATTATTGTACAAAATATGTGTCTATATACATTTAATTAATAATATATGCACATACATATTTATGTGAAAAATTCTATTCAAGATAATTTTATACATAATATTTGATAATAATATTATTAGACGATGCGTTACTATCTCTCAACAGCACATATACATATAGAGAATTTACTGAAGTAAAGCTTTATAATGTGGTACAAATAATTTACTTTAAATAGAATTAATTTTAAAATCAAAGTAATCAGACGTCTTCGTTGATACTTTATATTTCAATTTAAATTTATACATTTAATATTCAAAAATGAAATTCATTACAATTATATTCGCTATTATTGCAATTTTCGCAATTTCTTTATCATCAGTTGAAGCCGATGCTGTTGCACCATGTCCAACTCCAATGATTTATGCACCAGTTTGTGGTAGCGATGGAAAAACATACAGCAATAAATATGAAGTTGAATGTCAAAATAAAATTGGCAAATCAATTAAAATTGAAAAAGAAGGAAATTGTTAAAAAATAAAAAATTCAATAAAAAATTCAAATGTTCCATAGTAATTATAAAAGTTATAAGGTGTGATTATTTATAAGATTAATATATAATATAATGTTTTCATGATAAAGCTGCAATAAAAATTTTGAAAAATTACATAACGTAAACTGATTAAATTTTATTTTTTTTTAAGAATATAAGGTTTTACAACTCAAACAATTAAATTAAAAACAAAAGTGAGTTCATGCATAACATTTGTGAGATATGAAAGTGAATTCAAGGTCGAAATATGGCTGTATTTTAATTTCTCTGATTTTAATTTTGCATATAATTGAAAATAGAAAAATTTCGGTAACTGTTTAGGATATGTCTGAATTGCCGCTTCTTCATAAAAAAATTGTCAATAGAAATTTTAGTCAAATATATTAGAGGCAAGATTGTTGGTCGCAAAAGCATATCGGAAAATGATTGGGTTGTCAGTTCAGACTTTTGACGATTTCTGAAGCTGGACGAAATTTAATACAGATCAATTTGACAGGAAGCTTATAGCTAGTGTAAGATAACTGTTGAAGAAAAATAGTCAATCTGATATCAGCGTGCATAAGATATTAAGGTACGGTCCGTGACCCAATCATCTTCAATATGAAGATTTTTTTGGTCATACTTTTTGTGCAAAACTTCAAAATAAGATTTTTAAAAGTTTTAAATTTTTCATACAAAATTATCTTTAAAATTAAGGTTTTTAAATGCTACTAAAGTTTTTCAAAACTGCAATATCTTGCACCTTTATCCATATTTTCTAAAGTTTACCAAAAAAAAATTTTGACCAAAAAGTCAATTTAATAGGTAGGCAACGCATTGTAATGCTACTCGTACTTCCATGACAAAACATTTTTGATATTCTCCGCTTCGTTTGTTTCTATATTAATCGGTTTGGCGCAATAACTAATGCGCATACGACTTATAACATCATATGTCATTGTACATGTCATAAATTTTTCTTTTTGAAAATTTACGAATTTTTGCTTCCTACTTTTTTCAATTTAACTTCAATTGAAGATCTCGTAAGGTTTGTGAAGGTTTTTTTTTTTAATCGAATCTTCAAAATGAAAATTTTATTTTAAAAAAATTAAGATATTTGAGTTAATCTATTTGGCAAAAGAAATTCTTTTTTCCCGTCCCTTCGAACGTCAGTTTATGTCAAGTGAACGTGACCTTACTAGACGATTTATAAAATAAAGATGCGAATAGAATCCTTCAGGTAGGTTACTTGCTTACAATGATGATTAAATTTTAACAGAGTTTTAGTAGTGAAACTGAATAGCCACCCTTATCGCATCAACCCACCGAAAAACCAATAATAAAGCATTTCTTACATATATTTGTACCTCTAGTATAAAACTCCAGAAAAATACGATACTTATGTTTTAAGATTACATTTCGTTTAAAATATTTTTAGATGATTTTATAATCACTTGCTGAGACACCATTTTATATTATAAGAGTTTGTTATTTATTAGTTTGAATAATATGTAATTAAGAATATTTCATCCACTATGAATTACAATTCAACGGAATAGTTTATATATCATTAAACTTATTAATTAAACTTATACAATTATTTTCACTTATATATTTAATTCGAAATCCAATTATTTATAAATTTAAACAAAATATTTCCTATCCTTATCGCATGGACCATCATGAGCCACATAAAGTGTTCCTCCATTTTCTTGTACACAATTAATGTATTCGGGATTTTTATAAGTTTCTCCATCACTTCCACAAACTGCTGGTCCAGGATGAAGTGAAAGTTCAAGAGTACAATCTTTTCCTTGCGAATATATCAATGAAAATTCGGTGGTTAGTACAAATATAATTGTAAATAAAGCTAAGCTTAAATTCATTTTTAAAAATTTTATTCTCTCTCTTTTCTTTGAAACACTTTAAAATTCAAAATAATTCAAAATCAAATTAAATTTTCTTATTTATTAACGTATGTATATAGGAAATTTATTTCATTTTCATGGAAATTACAATAAAAAATACGGCTGAAAGCAAAAAATTTTAATTACCATTAAATAATAAAAAGCTAAATAGCTTATTGCAATTTTCATAATAATCAAAAGACGTGAAGTGTATAAAAATTTTTAGAAAAAAAAAATTTTTACTTGATATTATTTTTAAAACCTTTATTTATTTAAATATTTATTTCATAAAAATATTCAGAAGACGCCAGAACGAGGGATCGCAATACGCAATAAATATTACTGAATTTTTTGAGAAAGCATTTTACGAATACAAACCTTGGTGTTTTCACTTGTAAATCAAGTTTTATAAAATTGATCACCTTAACCAGTTGATTACAGTGAAATTTACTATCAGTACAAAGATTTTTTAACGAGATCTCTGATCTCTTATATAATTGAAATAATTTTTAAATTATCATTTTGTGATTTGTCGTTCTAGTTGGCATACAAATCCGAGTTGGAACGAAATCATACCACAGAGGATTGTTATAATTGTATCATTCATTTGGTTTCCGTTCAATTTTTTCCCCCAAAACTATTCGGAATCGTCACAGATTCACTTTATTGTAATTTTATAAAAAAAAAATGAATAAAACAAATGAGATTGCAAGTCAAAATACATTTATATTTTTATTATTAAATACATAACAAAATTAAATACAATTATATCTTGAACTTTTACATAATTCGGTTCCAAATTTTTTTTTTTGTTTTTAATATTTTAACATGGTCCGTTTCGAACCATTGTCACAGGACTATTTCTAGCATCACAACGTAATTCATCGATATTACTATATGTTTTACCATTACTTCCACAAACTGGAGCATAATTTGCTCTTATAATACAAGGTCCTTGACAATTAACAGCAGCTGGTTGCATTAAAGCAATGACTGTTACTATAATACTTAATAAAATTGTAGTTACTTTCATTTTTTACCAAATTTTTACAAAATAATTTAATCTCTTTAAAAAACTTTTCGTTTCTAATAAACAGATCAAAATTTTAAACCATTTTATAGGGGATTTTTTTTCCATTATTTTTCTACTTTTTTTGTTTTCTTTTGATTTTCTTTTTCGTAAACAAAAAAATCAAGATGACGTATTGTTATTATTTTAGTAATTTAAAGCTTTTCCATTTAATTCAACTGATTTCAGTAATTTTATTAATGAATTTTTAATTATAATAATTATAATTACAACAAAATATTATTTAATACAAAATCTTAATTTATAAATCCTCGTACAAATATTGAGTACAAATGGGATTGAAAGTGCATTTAAATACAAAGTAATTAATTACTGAATTAGAAAAAAAAAGTAAAATTTGCTTATTGTATAGAAATTCAATATCAAAATTCCCGGAATTATAATTCATTAATTATAATTATTGATTATATTTTTGTAATTAATAAAATTCTTAAATTAAATATTGAAAATTTTTTTCAAAAGAATATATTTCATAAATACCTCACATATACATATGTACACATTAACTATATAAAATATAAAATTGAATAGTCTAATCACTTTTTAATTTTTACTATTTAAATGATTCTTCCACATTAATAATGAAGATGCATATACTTTGTGTAATTATTGCAAATACAGTAATTATCAGATATATTGTGATTATCCAAACAAAAAAAAATCATAACCAGCTCCAGGATATCAAGATGAAAAAAATTTAATTTAAACGTCAGCATAAATGGAATTAAAGTAGTCAACTCTTGCTATAATTTTCATAATTTACTTTATTATTTCCAACACATAATAATATTGCATATATTTAGGATAGCCAAAAAATTTTAAAATTGTACTAAAATAATAAAAATATGTAATTGAATTTACATACCAAAAAAAACGTAGCGAAGATCAATAAAGAAAGAAATTGAAGAGATTCACAAATCGTAGTCTGAAATAATGCTACTTGCGCATAAAATGGCCATGGTGAAGAAACATGGTGAAGCTTTATTTTAATTTGTTCTCTCTTTTGAAATTAAATTCGCTATAATTAAAATCTTAATTATTTAATCTTAAATTTTTTTTAATATTCTAAAAATAGTTCTAAATTGATTTTAAAATAATAATTACACACCCTATATAGTTTTGAAATTAAAAATCAATTTATAATTGCAATAATTTTTTCAATTATAATTATAAATAAAATATTAAAGAAGTGTAAATCAAGTTATACGAGAACATTATATACAATTCGATGTATGAAATGAAATCGATTAACAAAATATATACAAACATGTACGAACATACATAAATACAATAGGTACAATGTCAGTGCACAACAGTTTATAAGCATATATATGTTTCTCTTCATATAACTTTACCTGACTTAGAATTTAATTTTTAATATATCATAGTTATATGATGTACATTACCCTTAACGACTATAATATTTAAAAATTAATACACAGTGCATCGCATAATTATTTAGACATTGTATGTCATTAAAATACATTTTGCAATCAAAATATTTAGTGAAAATTAACTTGCAGAACTTGATGGATGACGTAATCCGTTAACTTGATGGAAATTTCTTCATACAACTGCAGAACGGATGGATGACGTAATCCATTCTGCAGTTGTGTGAAGAAATTTCCATTAAGTTAATATTATTAGTGTAATAGGCACACTACTTATTAATTTAACAACTGCACGTTGTATTTGTAAATTTAAATAATTACTGAATTTTTTACGAGTACCAGAAAATTTCTCCATAAAAAGGTTAGAAAATAGCTGTTTAAGGAGCTATATACATAATTTCTTATCGCCTTGTACACAAAAATACATTCTTTTGAAAATTCATCTTAATATATGTTCTAGAATTATAAGAATTGAGGATTATACTTTTAATCTGATTAAATATTTTGAAAATAAAATATGAACTAAATCCACCCGCGCACTACCTATGTACTTTTTATTTCATACAAAATCTTAATTTTTTTTTTAATTGTCTTGATAATATTGTAATCGCACTGTATCATAGCGTACTTATAAATGAACACAAAATATCATGTTACAAACTAGTACAAATTATTAACAACAATGTTAAAAACATTTATAAATTATTACTTTTATATTAACCTATACCTACATTACATATAAAATTTATTGTACTCACATGAAATATTAATTAGTTTCAAATAAAAAAAAAATAAATGAAAAACTGTTCAAATAAAAACTATAGGGTATACAATTACATTAAAAGTTAGAAAGCTTTTATAATTTCATTAAGTAAAAATAAATTTTAAAGTACAATAATTTTCTATTTTCATATTTAATGTGTAAATAACCTCTGTAAGGTATACAACAATAAGAAAATTTCAAAGAAACCTTAAAAAATTTCTAAAAATAACAATTAAATTATTAATTCTAAAATAGATGTATAATTACAGAAAATAATTAAAGCAAAAAATCAAATTTTATACCTTAAGGCGACTCCTAAATGACCTCATCTTTTATAATTCTAAAATTTTATAACTACACATAATAAATATAGAATTTTATTTTTTATATATTTTTAATCAAATTTTCTACAATAATAAATAACATTTAAATTTTTATAAAATAAAAACTTAGAATAACAAGATTATGAGAACGTGACAATTCTAAAATATTTCGGGCAAAATCGAAAAAGTAACAAGTAAATATGTAAGTATATAGAAAATCTAAGTTGGGATATCTGTGTTTGTAAGCATATATGTATGTTGTATGTGTATTGCATGTTTGAATAAAACTTAAACCGATTTAACACTTTTGAATTAGAAAAATATAAGATGTAGAATATATAACTCTTACATATAACTTTTTCACTGATTACAACGCTGAAAATTAGCTGTACAAATAATTTGACTATAAAATAATGTTTTAGCTTCTAATTCTAAAGAAAAATTTCTAACTCTCAAAGCGAAATTAAACCATTTGACAAGGTTTGCCAAGCGTGATATTATTCATGATTATTTTTCAAAGTATGTATATGCTGATTACAAATGTCTAAAATGGAGGCACCATGTATAATTACTCGTATCTATAAAATTTTTTTGCTTTTCCAATTCTATATTTCGTTCAATTAAGTCTACTAAATCAACAATTCAGCAAATGTCAATAATTTATACATGACATAATTTTTCCATCTGCTTATTATCAATTATTTAATAAAATTTTTGAATGAATTGCAATACTCGTATAAACAAGGTTTGATTAAAGCAATTTCCTTATAAAACTCGATTTTCCTTTTAAAGTTTCTGTTGTTTGGTCGTTCTGTAATAGGTGCGCTATAATAAAAATTATATTAATGTATGATGAGTAACGATGAGTGAAACCCATTGGTATGGAATAAACTTTTTGAAGAAAAAGCTCATTTGAAATAATAACGAACAATTAAAGAATTTAATAAATTTAAAATCTTGTAAAGTTTTCACAAGTAGCACATCAATTATTTTAAATTTCTTATCAAAAGCAACATTTTGAGGTAACTGAATTTCACTTACAGTTCGAAGCAAAGCTTTATTCCAAAATGTCAATACAACTCCAATTAGGTTCTTGACTTTACTATTATATAGCAAAAATACACAATATATTATAATTAAATATTTTTTACTCTTATTACATACATTATATACAAAAGAAAGGGTTATTTACCCATGCACAAAATTGTTGATAAAAAATAAAACTAAAATAGAATAAAATATGAAAAATCTTATACAGATAAATATAAAATAACAAAATATAAAACAGCTGTTACCATTAATTTTATAATATGGTACTGCGCAAAAGACCTGCGTTTATCAATGTATTTTAGGAATGTAAAAATTTGTATGTTTGTATGTATAATCAATTCAAATACAAAATTGTATATCTAATGTGTAAAAAGAAGCTTTTCATATACGAATAATGTCTTCATTTTATTCGTATATTATTTTCTATCAGTATATCTAAAATATACTGATAAACTATAACTCAGTAATAGTAACGCTATAGTAATGCATAATAATATGTAATACGGAAAGAAGTATCGACCCTATAATAAATACAAACAATAATCATAATTCGCGTAAACAGTATACAGGTACAAACAATATAATACAAATTTGACCCTCTAAGTTCTCAATATAATTTTATTCAATTTTTATGTTTACAATTTAATTTCACTTATATTTTATTCATTATGGCGTTCCCAAGATTATAAACAAAAACTAATGAAATTGTAACAATTTTAACAAATTAGTACCTATAACAGTTTACAAATTTATGACTTACCTCACTTTTCAATTCTTAATTGAGACTTTAAAACATTTTTTATTTCAAATTTCTACCTTTTCTGGAACAAAAAAAATATAAGTAAAGAAATGTAAGAAAAAATTTTGGGAAATTTTCTTTAAAACGGGAATTTTTTTTTTTGGGAATTTATTTCTTTGGGAAATTTTTGGGATTTTTTTTTTTTAAATTCAATTCTAAAATAAATGTTATTCATTTTAAATTCCCTACACCATTTTCACAATTATATTTAATTATAGATTAATTAAACAGACTTTTTTTATTTAAAAGCAGATCCAAAAGGCATTGATTTTGCAACATCTTTTTATTAAGCAAATAGTTAAAACGCAAAACTTTTTATATCGAATATTCCTTTCGTATTATAATTATTAAAGAGCCGTCTTTTCGCATTCAAATATGAGGGGCTCAGAAGCAGAGTGGCGTAAGCCACAATGTGGGTTATGTCACTTTGCTTTTGAAAAATCCGAAAATTTTTGCAAAATCAGAAAATTTTTACAAAAGCAAAAGTACTTTTGTGAAAAATAAATAGGAAAAAAGCTATTTCAAAACTGGAAACTAATATTACTGATTTAAGAAGGTGTACATAACCCATTGCAGCAAAAAAAAATTTTTTTTTTATTTGTGGCTTACGCCACTCTGCTTCTGATACCCTCATATAAGGTTTTATAATTCTCTCAATTTTACATATTTTTGAATGAAGTTGTAAATCTCTACGAATGACATTTAAATTATTCGCTTCGGGAAAACGAATTTTACATAACCTGATCCACAAAGGGTATAGTAACGGAAACCGGTCAAATTTTCCTATGGAAAACCGAAAAACTACATAAAGCTTAAATATTATTAATATTTATTCTATTTCAAGTTTTCCCAACTCTATTTGACAATTACTATCATCTCTCATATCGTTTTCAGCACATAATCTCAAAATAAACTTATATATAACCGCCGATATTAATTAACATTTTAATACATAACGGTTTCTACTTAACATACACATTTATACAACAAAAAAGAACAAAACAAAACAAAGTTAAAATACGTATAGAAGGTAAAAAATTTTCTTATCATAATTTTACATGCTTTTCATTTTGTTTTCCTTTTTTTCTTTAACTGTACTCTTTATGTGTTTAAGTGGTGTTGTAAGGAATTGTAAGCTTTTTTAAATACAATATTTTTGTATGTGTTGATGTGTTTGTATTAGATTTGTACTACCAGAAACATTTTATTAAATAAAAGTTTTGTGTTTTGTCCCGGCAACCGTAACAACCAGACAGCTTTTCTTCAAAAAAAAAATTTACATTTAAATTAGAAGCGGAAAACAAAAAAAAACAACAAAAAGTAAAAATAAATAAAAAAAAATTTTTCTTTTTATTTTCTTTGATAAAAATTTGAGAGTGGAAAAATAAAATTTTATAAAAATATTTTTTTTTTTAATATTTTAGAAAATTTTTTTAAAAATTTTTCAATTCGTCTTTTGCTTACTGATTGGATGTGAAAGTATTTTAAGTGATTTATGTGGTACATACGCGCAAACATACATACAAAGGATGTGTAAAAATTCGAAATAAATTTTTTACAAATAAATTTAAAAAAAAAAATTCGAAAAATATTTTTGAAATTGAATTTTTAATTAAAAAATCAACTCAATTAATTAATTATTTTAATTTTTGTTTTGTTATAAACTGAAAATAAAATTGTTAATGTGATTGAGCCGGAAAAGAAAATTTAAGAAATTAAAGATTTTTGTTTTTCTTTTAACAAGTGGAAACAACTTGGTTTTTTCCATTTTCCATCTAACTTAAAAAATAAACAAAAAAAAAATTTATGGAGAAGGAAACTCATTTTAGGAGTTTTCATATATAGAGTGCGGTCTTAACCATTTAAATTTAATGTAATTATTTTTTACTCATTTTTCCAAGAAAAAATGAATTTTTTTTTTCTTATTTTTTTCCTGTTATCAGATTATTGTGTATCTATTATAAAATATCCTTTTTATACATTATAATGATGTACACACATTTACACTCAATTATATTAAATTGCGCACACATTCATTCATATACAATGTGTATTTGAAATACGGAACTTTTTCTTTATTATATACGCTTTTTTATGTTTCTGTGATATGCATATATATATATGTGTGTGTAAGTGTAAGTTTATGAACGTACACTTTATAAAGAGTTCATTCATAATTTTTGTGTTTTGATTTTTTTTTTTCATTTTTTAATTCTCATTTTTATCATTCTCATTAAAAAAATTTTTTTACAACAAACATTTTAAATTTAATTATTTTTTTTTGTTGTTTGTTTTGGTATTAAAATTTAATTTATGTGAAATTAAAGAATAAAGGATATTTTATCAGGATATTTAAAAGTTAAAAGAAATTGGATTTTATATATTGAAAAACTTAATAATTATATAAAATATTGTGATGATATATATATATATATATGTATATATATTACGTGTGTGGTGAAAAAGTTTTGATTATATTTAAAGAATTTTAATTTAATTATAATTTGGAAAATATTTAAAATTAGTGATAATAAAATGAGTATAATATGCAGAATATATAAAAATTCTTTGATTTTTTAACAATTTTTAAATAAGTGAATTTTAAAGCATATTTGAATTTTTATATAATTTCGCAGCTTCTTGCCAAAAAATTCAAAGAGAGAAAGAAACAATTTACATATTATGTACAAGAAAACGATTTTAAATGATGTTTCAACACATTGAACAGTTGTAATTATCGGATTTGACATTCTTAACATAATAATTAAATTTTATATTTAATAAGACAGGGTTACAACAGTTTTGAATTATTTATACATACAAGAATTTGACAAGAATTCTGAAAATTATAGTGTATAGATATATTAAATACGATTTAAAAAATCTAAACTATAATTGCTATATAAGATTCTATTATGTCAAATTGTCATATAAGCAATGACAACATTAAATAAAAAAAGAAAGCAAAGATGAAAAATGAAATTCCAAATTTTTTTTTTATGATAAAAATACATTAAATTGATTTAAATATATTTGCTATACATAGGTATTTATTACCTATATAAAGTATGTATTCATTAGTTCTTATATTCTATATAATTTTATATTGTATAAATAAAAAAAAAGCACATGAATAGAATAAGAATAAGTAGAATACTCTTTAATTTTTATATAACTATATATACTGTGCGCACTATATGCGTAAGAATATTTGGTATTGTGTTATATTGCTGTTTTGCTCTCATATACTATGTAAATTCATATGTACATACTCGTATATAAGTATATAAAATGGATAAAAATATGTTTGATTACTAAATTCGTAATGTAATCATTAGAGTATTCGAAAAAAAAACTATCTTTTGAAATAAAAATAGTAAGGTCTGCTTTGCATAGTTATTATAAAGAGTTACGTAATTCAGTCGGTAAGAGAGAAAAGCGGCACCCTAAACGCTGCCATCATGCATTTGGCCAAGAAAAAGCTTGTCGAAATCCTTTTACGAGACATTTTCTCTCCATTAGTTAATAACAAAATGACATGATGTTCTGAGCGCTGCGATTTTCCAATTGGGTAATAAGATGGTAATCGGCATCCTTTCTTTAAGTCCCTTATAGAATTTCGACACATATTCCACGGTCGGCTCTAAGAATTCCTTTAATTGCACAATGCACAATTTTTTTGCCATTTTGCTTAATAAACTGTGTTCCATTAAAATATCAACCGCAGTAATTAAATCTACTCCACTTAATGCCAGCAAACCATATGTTTCGTTTCTCTTCGGCTACAATTATTTGGTCATCAGGCAAGTCTGTGTCCCATCCCCATTCCTATTGATCTTGAACTTTCACAATGGTAGAAACAGTGAATTGTTCAGTCCATTATTGTGATAATGACTTATGACGTTAAAGACAAATTCGTGAGTCAAGTTAACAGAAATTGCTAACATGAATTTATTACATGTAGTCATACAGCTATAAAGCAAGTCATATGAAGTCTCTTCCTTATGGTGACCATTATAACATTTCAATCATTATAATGAAAGATGTAGGAAATTGTGTTACCATATTTGTGTATTTAAATTTATATAAAAAAATCGCATAAAATAATTGTCGGAAATTGATTTAAACCACTTTTCATAGTAACGCTTTAATTTTCATAAATTTTAAAATAATAATACTTTTATATTTAAGTACTATAAATGATTTCTGAAAATGATAGAGTACCAGATTATTTAACAAGACATATCAACTACACCGTATACATTTTATGTGCTTGTTTCAAAAGCTATGATTTAATAACTAAATTGATATATTGCAGAAGAGAAAATCGTTTAAATAAAAATTTAATTCAGTCTTATATCTGATCTTCAAGTGGTCGTGTCTCTTAATTCAAACGTCAAATATAACAACACCATTCTTTATTTATTTTATTATTATTTACGCAGTAATTTAATTCAATGAAAATACATGTACCTTTACATGTATGTTTTAATATTGTGAAAATAAAATTGTAATTTAAGAAAAGGAAATAAAAATAAATTTGTGTCATTAAAAAAAAAAAATATTTTTTCACAAATTTGCAAACTAAAAAACTAAGGATATCAGTTTTATTCTTTAAAAATTTTTGTTTATAAAAAAACTTAATAAAACCGTTAACTAAAAATATGTATATAAGTGTATTATGAAATTATAAATAATTGTAATAAAATTTTAATTATTTATTAATCAAAAAATGTTCAAAACTTTTTGTCTTAAAAAAAAAGAAATCTAAAATTAAAATATTAAAATTCCGTATTACTTGAAAATTCTTCTATTTTTAATTTAATTAATTAATAAATTTTATCCACAGTTTATACCTAATACAATTTGATAAAAAAATAAAATGTAATCAAACATCGCATTATAAATAAGTCGCGCCCCTATCAGGAAAAATAATCAACTTTCTCAGATATAAGGTATGATAGATAGACTTTTAGAAACTGTTTACACATTTGCTACATGTTTTCGAATATTCTGGTTAAATTGTTACACTTTTTTTGAATTTACTTTATGAAACAGAATTAATTTGATTAGTCAAATAGTTTTAAATGTCATTTTATTTCGGTCATTTACGAAAATATTATAAGAATATTAAAAAAAACCCTATATTGAAGTTCCTATATTAAAGTTCTGTTAATAAACACATAAACAATCTACGATATAATGGAGAAATTTCACAAAATGGAGACTAAAATAACAAAATTAAATGGAAAATTCACTATCAAATAAAAAATAATCATTGAAATTTCTATTCTTCAATAAAACAATATTAATACTATTAAGTTAATTTAAAAGAATGCAACATTAAATTAATAAATAATAGCAATTAATTTAAATATTAAAAAAGAAAAAAGACATAAATAATTTTTCTTTCAAATATAAAAATTAAAATTCATAATAAAAATAAAATCAAAATGCAAATTATTTTATTTATACAATGAAAAAATAAAATTAACGTAGAATAGTCACCATCTTTTCCCTTCCTTATATAAGCTCATTATACCTAATTTTGTTATCTATTTTATGTCACAATGTACAAATCAGTTTGTTATTTCTATTCCTTCACAATAGTATTTCAAAAAACCGTTAGATAGCGCAGTTTCCGCAACTAAAAATAACATTATGTTTTTCTTGTTCTATGAGTCTTTCTAATTTATTAAATTTGAAAAAAAAAACGAGAAAAAGTAGAGTTGACCGTGTCAACTCTGTGATACCCGTACGAATTTGTTATTCAATGAACGAATAAATATGCCATAGCTGACTATGAGAAAACTATGACTTTTGAGTTGTCGCATTACCATATCAATTTATGAAAAATTTCAGTGCTACCAGAAAGAGCCAAGCAATTTCAACGACTTTTATCAAACACATTGACCCTACTAAGATATTTGCTTGTGTGAAATTTCAATATCACAGCTTTTATAGTTTTTGAGATATACCCAAAAAATTTTTGAAGTTGTATGGCAGCTACCGGAACCAGCACCCCGATCATATCTAATTTAAATAGAGTTCTGACATTTACTATACTAAATCATTTGTGAAAATTTGGTGAACTTAGCTTAATTAGTTTCTGAGTTGTCGTTGGGACGGACGGACGGACGGACAGACAAAGCCAAATCGATTTAAAATTCGACGCTGATAAGACACATACACTTAAGTTTATATATCAGACCATTATTTTATAGCGTTACAAACGGTAAGGCAAATTTAGTATACCCTTCGAACAGACGTTCGTACGGATATAAAAATTTATACACAAACATGCACGTATAATACATATGAGTATGTTAATGTTTGTATGTAGCTCTTTATTCAAAATTAATTGAAATAGAATAAAATAACTATGAACAAATATATTTTTCTAACTTGTAATCATTGTCATTCGTAACGTAACAGTAATTTACAAAAATCTAAGTATAAAAACAAAATTTCTCTACAAAATTCCTTAATCAATATAATGAATTCAGATAAAACTAACCCTTTTTTTAAAATGAAGAACGTTTTGCTTACAATCTTTGCATAAACCCATATATTTAGATATCTATAGCTTATATATTTTAGTGTTTTGAGGATATAAAAAATCTCTTGCGGATATAAAACAGCCTCAAAGCTATCAGGGATATCTATACAACGTATTTTTTTTACTTTTATAATAAAATAATTTGTTTTTATCTTAATTCGCTCCTAGGCGCTCCATATAGGGCTGGTGCATGATATTGTAGATAACCATGAACCAGTTTCTTACGTCATTGAGTAATACAAATAATTGCCTTTCTAATACCGCAATAATTTAATTGTTTATTGCTATAAAATATCGGAAAATTATATAAGCATTTGCTTACTTACTAGTGACGTATAGCAAACTATTTTCCAAACAAAAATTATTTTTTGGGAATTAATTTTCAAACTTAGTTTTCACTTTTTAGTACATTTAAGAAAAAAATTTTTAACAATTTTGCGGAAATTTTATATTCGATTTTTGACATAATTTAACTGCATACACAAGCTATAATCTTAAAGTTACGTACAGAAAAAAAAAAATAATATTCTTTATCAATTACGTCACATTCCAGAATTTTATACCCTATACTATTAAAAAAAATTATTTGAATTAATTTTACGGAAAAACGGCTGGAACCATTTTTTTTTGTCCGCATGTCAATACTGGGGTGCATCGATACATTGTACTCTTTGTTGTTTAGATATCTATCCGCAGAACATATCACCAAACGGAAAATTTAACCCGGGAGCGTTATTTTCCATATCGGGGTCTTCTGAACATTATACCCAATTCTTTCTGCGCTGCACTGCTAAAATGTATTTCACAAGCATATTACATTTATGCATGTTACCAAAATATATTGTGGTGGCATGGTTTCTTCTTTACTTCGCAATCATTTAGTTTAACTTTACCTAAAAAGCTAAATAATGTGGAAATATAAACTTTTTGTTTCTCTAGAGAATCGGCACCTTTCTCACCACGACTCATGGGATCATTTGTAGTTTTTGGCCCCAACTACGTGAACTCTATTTCTAAGCCCAAGACGGATTTAAGTATCAAACGGATCACCGTCTCACATCCGCATAGTACAAGAGAAAATTAAAATAAAAAAAATAAGTGGTCTGCCGTCTTATTCTTCTGTAGGCGGAGACGGTCCAACCCCTCTCCACCTGTTATTATACTCGGCAAAAATATCAATATTAAAAAGTATTATTAACTCTCGGCCCAAATATCAATGTTAAACAGTCAATTGGGATGAAATAGACAAATGTTTTTAGCAATATAACGTTAAATTTTATAATTTAACTAATTTATGAATTTTCAAGTTAACTTTATATTTATAATGAGTAACGGTATTTACAAAAACTTTTATATCAATAAATTTCATGTAATGTAGGGTATAAATCATAAATGATAAAAACCGACCATAACGTTTTCACTTATTCTTAAATTGAATTTTATTTTTAATTTTCAAAATAAAGACATTACATTCAATTTCTCTTTTTTCTGAATTAATTGAATTTCCTGTATAAAGCTTTGTTCTCTAATAGTATGTTATTTTGATTATTTTATATAGAATGTGTTGCATTTTTGTTCATTTTTTATTATTCTCTGAATGATGGCCGTGTGTGTGTTTATATATAAATTTTATTAAATATAAGAATCAAAGCATATCAAACCACTTGACCACCATTTCAACCCGGCATTTATAGTTTTTCATATTCTTGTTTTTTTTTTTGGTTTTGGTGTTTTTTTTCTCAATTTACTTTTCCTTGTATTAATAAAAAAAATTTAATATTTAGAAAGTTTTACGATTTTTGTTTTTGCTAACTTAAATAAAAAGTGTATCTAAGACCTATTCCAGACATACTAGGAATAGAATAAAGATGAATTTGATTATTAAGTGACATACATACATATTTTATGGTACTGTCAGGTTTTATGACATATTTCTAATAAGAAATAACCCTATTGCATCGTATCCTTAGTTTTCAATTATTTAATATAATAAGTAGGCAAAATTGAGGTATGTTGCCATTGCTTAGAGTTTAGACAGAAAGTTAAGATTGCAGAGCATTTTATTTTGTGCTCGCGTTGTCTATGTGGTCTGCTCAAGATTGAGATACTGCGGAGAAGATCGTTGCTTCTAAGATTCGATCATATTCCATTGAAGATCTAACAAAGCGTTATATTTAGATTCAGGTGGGGTTTGAATAAGCATTTGAATTACGAAGAACCAAACGTTTTTATAACTGTATATTGGACATGAAGGTTATTCACTTAATTTACATTTGAATTCTGCTATGTACGTAAACCTAATATTCTTCACAAATAACTTGTCGAAATAGACGTGTTTATTATATTCTTTAAATTGTAGGTACAGTAATAGAGCTTGTGGTTCGATTCTGCCTGTGAAACCGGCTATCTATAGTAGGAAATTTTAACTGAATGTAAGACGCACGGATGGTCATAAACACCTAAAACTATTCAAAGTGACTAAACATTAGTTTTGCTCTATCGTGCATTTTTGTCTACATTCCGTGAAGGAAGACACGGAAATTCTTTTAGTTTTTTAGGGTAAATCGAGAGCTCTCATCGGCTTCAATCTTTTTGTCCTAATCCTCTCTCCCATAAGTCGAGAGGCTTCAATATTAACATGCTGTTCAAAACATGCCCTATGTTTCATGGCACAGTTCCCTATTTCTTCACTTGTCTAGGGGACACCCAAACCGAAATAAAACTTTCTACTTCAGGATCTAGTTGACCTCTTATTTGCAGTTCAACATTAAAATACATATGTATTCCTAGTGACACCATATTTGAAATCTACCTAATCTGTGGTTCTGTTGACTTAACTGGGTCCTTTCCATTTGTTACCTACTCTCTCACTAAGGGTTAATATGACTGCAGAGTCAAACCTTTTAGATACAAAAAGTTAATAAGACCCAGGTTTTTGTTGTTATCAGTAGATCAATAAGTCGGACTGCGAGTAAAATGATAGTAACATCTCCTGAATAGCTACCTTAAATCCCTACTCCGATTGATATATGTTTTGATAATTTCTAAAAGCCCTTTCAATGAGACGTAATTTACAATCGAATAACTTCAAATGTTCAAAATTAGTTGGGTTATTATATAAATGTGTATGCAAAAGTGCGTTAAAGGTAATTGGGATAACACTATATATGATTTAAAATATGATTATTTTAAAATTATGGGCAGGCACATTTTTTTATTTCTGCTTTACATTTTTTTACAGTTACATTTTTTCTTATTATTTCTCCCAGCTACCTGATAATAGGAATTTTTTTCCAAAAGTAAACTCGATAAAATTTTACTTTTTATAAATCTCTTCATATGGGTTTAGTCTGATTATGTTGGTACCATATAAAAAATATTTTTACACAACTATTGCGTAATCTGTAAATCAAATGATAAAATTTACTACATTTTTTCGTTTACGCAACCCATAATATTACAAAATAAACGTTAGCATTCCATTCCAAATATGTGTGCATTATCAGAATGCATCAATCAACAAGTAATATAGTAGATTGAATCACCATCTATATAATATTATTTACGATTAAAACCACACTCTAGTTATTCACATAAACTTTTAAAACCACTTAAGCTTTAAGTGAGTGTTTTTTTTTTTTAAGAAACGAGTGTTGCTACTCGTATTACGTATGGCTATAACTAACATTTTCATTATAAATATTTTTAACCTTATAAAATAATAAATATTCACCCGCCAAAAGGTGATTCAACATTTCAAAGCTTGCATATATTATTATTGTTATACAATAATTTGTTGCTTTTGTCTATCTATAGCTGTTATATTATTATTATTATTTTAATACAATATTTATATTATTATTATTTTTTCTATTTTTAGTACAATTATTCAGAATAAAGTGTGATGTAAATAAATTATTTACTGAAGGAGGAATACAAAAACAAAACAAAAAAATATCATTACTTTTTAATTGTCTTAAAAAGATTGTCAATTTAATTTAGTGTTAGAAAATCTGAATGAGTTTAAACAGTATAACAATTAAATTAAAATTATACAAAATTTAATTTAAAAAAAAATTTTTTTTGTATGTTGAACTAAAAAATCATAAGAATCTATTATAATTATTGAAATTTAATTTATGAATTTTAATAAAACTGATATAAAAACATTTTAATAATGATTTTATCAAGCCGACGTAAAATGTTTTCAAATAATAGAATGTCATTTTTAATTTTAATGGCATTTTTTATATGTTTACAACTTTCAAACCGCAGACAATTTGTTAGCGGTGATGAAGAAGTTGCTAGTGATTTAAGTGTATTACCAATACAAGTTGATCCGAATTTTAAAAATTTTAAATATATTGGTAATAAAATAATACCAGATGTATCAACTATAATGAAAATAAATGAACCTCATTTAAATTATTTAAAAGAGTTTTTGAAAGGTATCGGTTTAGCTGATTTAGAATATGAAGGATATCAGATTGTCAAAGGTAAGAATTTTTTTATGTTTTAATTAAATTCAAATACTCGTATATACATATGTAAACATAGTTAGCCGGTAGAATTTTAATAATAAACTATTCAAATCATATTAGTTTAATAAACTCTAAGCATGAAATGTAATGGTGATCCTTAGCACGCGATATACTCTATTAGGCAACCAACATATCACGTTAATAAACAGGTGTAGTTTGGGTATGAAGCGACTCTACGATATACGTTAGCTGTTACTTTTGAACGTCTAACGTTTATATAAAATGAAAAAAAATAATGGAATTTTTTTTTAGCTCTAATTACCACAATTTACGCTTGCAGCGCTTTACCGTGCAGTGATTTGGGATTAAACAAGTAAAATATTCGTATGTGTTTATGAATAACTTTTTCTTTTTGACATTTGACAGAATTTTATTTAATACCTAATCGTCCACGACATTCGGTGGAGCCAGTTTTCAACAATTATTTAATTAAACTGCAATAATATTCAAGCTACAGTTTTCAAATTTAATACATACATACATACTTTATAAACAAACCTCTTCTATACTCAACTTCTTCTATAAAAATAATACTAGAGTCGCATTAAAAATAATACTAGATAAGCTATGCATTTAGCAAGTAATTTAAAAATAATTGCAACATTACTATATATTATGTACATGTTTATTTTTTTTTTTTGCAGATGTTCCGTTTACTATAATTGTTCCAAAAATCGATGTCGCAAGTATAGAAAAAACACGATTAAAAGATTTAGCTTTAGAGCATTTAATCCCAGGCATTGCATTTGGTGAATTTAATACGGATGAATTGTATGGTAATATGCATGGACATAAAATTCAATTTAATCATGTCGACTTAAGATGGACACTAAATGGTTTAAAAGTAATACAAAAAATTAAATTTAATGAAAATTTAACAGTAATATTTGTTGATGGAATTCTTGCCGATAAAAAATCAGCATTTTCAAAGAGAAATATTCAAGAACATAATAGGTAAGCTTTCTGCGTATATTTTCTTTGAACAAATTCTATTTCAACATTTTTACATATACTTAAAAAATTTCCAAACTACTATTAGCAAATTCAACAATTTGCTAAAAAATAAAATGCTAAAATATACGTGTTATGTAAAGATTTTTATATAATTAAGATTATTTTTTGTATTTTTCTATAATCAATAAAGCTACAATGAGCCGCAAAGACTAGAAATGAAAAATACAACAACTAAAAATGATGTAGCAACAAATAAAGATTCGACGAAATCAAGTCCACTGATGGCATTTTTATCAAGTATGAAATCAGGAACAAAAGTTTTTCAACATTTTCTTTTAAAAAGTAATTTAACACAAGTAATGGACAATAACCGCTTTACAATATTAATACCAGCTGATAGTGCATTTCAACGATGGCATCCAATAGATTGGGGCTTTTATCCATTTAGTGTACAAGAATTTACAGAAAATATTTTACGAAATCATTTTATACCATCATCAGCAGTAACTCCAACAATACCAATGAAAATTTTAACATCAAGAGAAATAGGATCAGAAACGGAACCTATTTTACATAATCCATTGAAAATGTCGGATATAAAAAATAATGATAAAATTTTATTGAAAACTTTAGGTGGTGAAACCGTTGTATTTAGAAATAATCGTAAGTCTTAGTTGTACTAGTTTGTCATTAAAATTTTAACAAGTAGTAAAACTTGATTTTTCTTTTAATTTAGCATTTCCATCTGTTAATAATGTAACAATACTGAGTGATTACACACTACCTAATGGAAATCAAATATTTATTATATCAGAAGTTTTATTTGTATCCGAAGCTGTAGTCTCTAAACTACATCAGGTACGAACGTTAATAATTAATATATGTATATGAACTTAAATTATTAAATCTATAATATTTTAGATGCATAAAGATAAAGAAACTCCACCATTATTAGCATTTCCATGGTTTGGGGCACAATTCTTATCACATTCATTCTTGGCACTTGAAAGAGATTCAAGATTTACACAAATAACAAGGTATATTACTAGCAATTCCAAAAGTATCTGCGAAAACATCTTTTTAAATTTTTAAAAATTTTAGATATTTAAATAATGCTGAAATAGCACCTTATGTTTCTGGAGCAAATTACACTTTTTTTGTGCCGGAAGATAGAGCTTTTATAAAAAATGGATTCAATAATATACCAGATGAAGTTCTGGTTAGTTTTTAAATTATAAATTTTACCCAATTACAAAATTATTATTATATTATTTTTAATTAAACCTTTTTTTTTTAAATTAAATATGTATTTTTAGGCATCACAAAAAGGTGTAAAAATGCTATTAAATCATTTTATTAAAGGACGTTTATATGAACGTGATTTAAAAGATGATGAAGTATTTGAAACAATCGGTGGTGGTTTAATTAAAGTACAACGAAAAGCTGGAAATAATGTTACTGTTAATATGGCTAAAATTATAGAAAGTGAAGTTTTTGTTTACAATTTAGGTACAATGTTTTACATTGATGACATATTATATGCTGAAATGTTAAGAAATTATGATTCAACAATATCATCTAAAACACCATCAGTATCAACTGTAATTCCATCATTATCATCTCCATCAATATCAACTACAGCATCATCAATAATAAATAATAATAAAGATGGTACAAATAGTGTTACATCAAATAATTTTAATATATTCTCACCAACAAATATACCAACAACATCAGCTGAAGTTGAAATAGTACCAAGTGAACTTATAACAGAAAATACTGCAACTGAAAGTGATATATTATTAAATAATGGTAAAGGACGTATTCCAATTGATCCCATATCAATAGAAGATGAATTAGATGAGGATGAAATAATAACACCAAAAGCATTACCAGTTAGATTAACACCAAAAAAATGAAATATTATCATGGCATTATTATTTATAAATCAATAAAATAAATTTGTGTTTAGGTTTTATATAATATAGTATTGAAAAAATATTTTAATATTAATTCATTTTTTAATTATATTTTTTATTTTAAAGTATACTTTTAAAGAAAATAACTAATTTTTTTTTTTTCACTTTACGTACATATAATCAGAATTGTATAAATGAATTTAATTAGAATTTTTTTTATATTCTATAATAATTATAATTGTATTGATTATATTGTTGCATTACTTATTAAATGTTTTGTATTTGTTGAAATTCTGTCGAAAACACTATAAAAAATGTTATTATTTAATCTAGTATTCTCAAGTGTATTAAATGTATTAAAATATTTAAAGGTTACCATAGCTTATTTAATGTTTTGTGTAATGCACAGTAAAATGTCGCGTTTATAACAAATTATTAATTCAATAATCATTGTCAAAAAAAAAAATATTAAATGTTTATTTTCTATCATTTTATTTCACTTTACAAACCTTCATCTTGAAATTCTTAAAAAGTATACTCGTAAATTAAATTATGTTATTCATAATAAACTATTTTTTGTAGGTACATATTGTAGATAACAGTCTTTATTTAGTGAATGCTATTGCATATTTATAGTTATATATTTATATGTAACAATAATTATATACTTTAAATTAAAACTCTACAAATAATTTTTATGAATTTTGTTAAAATATATTTTTTAATTGTGATATTTTCAAAAAAAAAAAAAAAAAGAAATCAAAATTAGAAAATAATAAAAAAAAATAGTAGAACAAATTAGTGAAAATTTGTCAAATTAAAAAATTATTATAATATGGTTAAAAGAATAATGCGCATTGTTGTACATATTATATAATTGTAAAGTTAATTAAAATTTTCCTATTTACATATATATAAAAATATTATTAATGAAATTTAAATAATTTTGTGTACATTAATTTGTTAAAAATCTGGTCACATAATTTTAACACCCTTATTGTTTATCAAAATAAATGCTATATAAAATATAAGTTGTTAGCCCCATGTTGGGTGCCAGTTATTAAACTGCGATTAATTTGATTTAAAAAAAATGCAATTATTTTTATTTAATACGAGTTCTTAAACTGCGCTACAAATTTAATTTAATTACAGTAAATTAAGAAGATATATATATATATATATATATATATATATATAATATAAAAATAAAGATATAATATTATTTTAAATTATATTCGGAATTTTAATTTAATTCAAAACATTTTATTTGTACAAATAATGAGAACTTTTATAATTATTATATTCTAATTTTAATTATTATATTTTTTTTTCAATTTTATTAAAACTCTTACCTAGTACCTGAGATGTTAAATTTTCAAATCATATGAATATCAATACGACTCAGAAGAAGCATAATACTTTAAAGGTTTTGTCCATTGAAATTAAAAAAAAAATATTTTGCTTCTACTCATCCTATTTAATACTAAAATAGAACAACAACTATTATCCAAATGCATAAATAATTATGACCAGAATTCTTTTATAATTTCAGTATTTTTATGTACACAAATTAATTTATAAAATATCAAAAAAACTTGAAATGCGATTTTATTTAAATACTACAAAATCTTTTAAATTTTTATGAGTAAACTTTTTTTTTTAATTAACAGAATAACTTTAAAAATCTAAAATATTAATTAAATAAATTATTTTTGGCCATTTTTAAATAAAATTTTTTGTAATCAATAAAAATTTTCAAATTAAAGAAAAGAATATCAGGACAAATTTTTAATATAAAATATATTTTGACAAAATTAATACATATATATTAATATATAAATTAAATTTATAATTATACAAATATATGTATATATAAACAATAATATTATATTATTAGCTTCGATTAAAAAATAAGATATTATTTATTCACTCTTTTATATTCTACAAAAAAAAAAGTGTGATTTAAATTAAAAATACAAAATAATCATACATGATTTATTAAAATAAAATTATAAATAAATACAATGATTATATCAAATTATTATGTGGCATATAATATAAAACTTTTGTAGATTTTTTATATTAGTACAATTTAAGAAACAAAAATAATAATTAAAGTATAATGTATACTTAGGAAGATTTTTTTTTTTTGTAACATTATTTAAAAAAGTTTTAATTTCAAAAATAAAATTTCGCTTTTAATTGTATAATCTAAGCGTATATTGAAGTTTTGAATGAAGATAATGTAACATCGCTTGAAATATTATAAAAATAAAATAATTAAATTAAAATAATTTTTTTGCTTTCTTCCCAGGGAGCATTAGATAAGATTATACATTATAATAGAGATCAATAGTAACCTTGTATTTTTATCGAAAAAACTCTTTAAAAGTTTCTGTACATACCAACTGTATTAAAATCTTGGCATTATAATTTTTTGTGATTATTAGTTTAACTTAATTTCTTAATCTCTTTCCTTTGAAATAAAAAACAAATATTGTATAGTAAAAATTCAGTAATCTAAGATGAGTAAAATTTTTAATATACATACATACATAATGCACTTATATTAAATTAACAGTATATAGTAACAGTACATAATGCACTTATATTAAATTAACAATGCACTTATATTAAATTCTAATTACAAATTATTTCGATAGAAACTTTGTAAACGAAATTTCAACATCCAGATAGAACTTTATATCCTAAAGAAAAATTACTATACAAACTTTGCATAGAACCGTGTAAACAGACAAATAGAGCTTTGTAGAGCTAAATTTTTTTCTTTCATATTTAGTTATTAACATAATTTTAGCTTATTGCTCTTTATCAGGTAGAGTGTAAATAAATAATAGTACGAAATAGTGATATAAAGAAAATTACCGAATGGGTTGCGAATATTGATATAAATTTTAGTAACGAAAATATCATTAAATTTGGATCTGGCGTGAGAATTGAGAAACACATCGCCATTCCAGTTGAATCTAATAAAAAAAATATTATTAAGATCAATAATATTTATTTAAATTATTCAGTTAGTAATTTTTATATCGATAGTTGTAGAATATCTTCAAAAGAAACTGAAGGTGATGCCGATAATGAGTAATATACTTTTGGGAAAGCTAAGAAATATTCAGATTTATTAAGAATAATATTAAATATTCTAATCGTAATTTATAATAACGGATTTATAACGAAATATAATTATTTTGTTTTCGTTAAATTTTTAACGCTCTTCGTGTCATTTAAGAAAAATAATTTTTACAATGTGGTAATACTGATAGACGTTCATAAAATGTCAATAATTAATGTCATGTGTCATTCGTGATTGAAAAGTTTTTAAGCATATACGAGTATTTAAAAAGTGTCATTAGAAATTAGTTAACAATTTTCGAATTCATAATAAAAAAATTTATAATAAAAATTAGAATTTATAATTTTTTATAACTCCAAAATATTAATTTGCCAATATAGTCATTATGCCACACGGACATTCTCATGGAAATGGTTGCTCACATGAAGCAAGTGGAATAAATAATCCTTTAGAAATGGGAATTGAATATAGTTTGTTCAAAAAAATTGACTTGGAAAATATGGAATGCTTAAATGAGGAAATTGAAAATTCTGGAAAATCTGTTTTCAAACCATTTGAAAAGCGACTAGATTTTACAGAGGTATTAAAATACATTTCACATAAGATGTAGGATTAAAAAGAAAATTTTAGTATGTTAAAAGTGATGCTGATGAAGAACTCTTATTTAATATACCTTTTACTGGGAATGTAAAATTAAAAGGAATTATCATAATTGGAGATGATGATGACACACACCCGTCAAAAGTTAGATTGTAGGTATAATTTTATTCGATGTTTTCCAACTGCTATAATTAAATAGTTTTTTTTTTTACCTCAAGATTTAAGAATAGACAAAAGATGTCTTTCGATGACACGACTTCAAGTGCTGATCAAGAATTTGAATTATCAAGGGATACAAGCGGACAAATAGAATATGCAACAAAGTAAATATTACTAAAAATTAAGTGCCTAAACATAGTATGTCGTTTCGCTTTGAGTATGTTATAATTCTAGATATTAAACTTGATTTGTTTTCAATTGGCGAATTTCTAAATACATATTTAAATTCGAAACACATTAGTATAGGAACTAGAAAATGTGAATGTGCTTGAGATTATTATTAAACTTTTTTTTCAGAATAGTAACTTTTGCTACTGTACATCATTTGAGTTTACATTTCCCATCAAATTTTGGCTCAGAATACACAAAAATTAATTATATCGGTAAGCTTTTAAAATTATAGTTTGAAAAAAATATAAATTCATTATTTTAATAACTTTTATAAATTAAGAGTTTTAATTTAACATTTGGTTTTTAGGTTTACGTGGAGAATTCACTGAAGCTCATGACCATGGTGTAACAATTTGTAATTATGAAATTCGGCCAAATGTATCTGACCATAAAAATAATTTATTTAATCAAGTAAATCATCAAATTCAGTAAAATTTAGCAATTATAAATATGTACTGTGATTTTGATATTATAAATCATAATTAAACAAACAATTTTTATAAAAGGTGTCTTGATCCTTTTTTTTATTTTATAAAAATTAGGTAATGTATGTACATACCTACCGTTTTTAAAATGTACTATACCTGGAAGATAAGTAAAATTGAAATTTATCAGATTTTTACAATATATTTGCGTCTTATGTATATATAATTTTAGACACAAAAATATATTATTATTTGCATATACTTCCAACTTGTAAATATAATTAGTAAATATCTGCTATATTTTAGCTAATCCATAGCACTATTGTAGGATATTTAAAATTTAAATATTTTAGATAAAGTGGGTTGATTTTTTATATTGCACTCTTTGTATATAAAAAATTTGATTATTTTTAACTCAAACAATCCAGTCAGAAATAATGTCTCATCTGATTTATTTGTTAAATTGCGATTGCTGCTATTATTCCACATATGATCATTATGTTTCTGACATAATTTGACCATTCCACATTTACCGCTGAAAAAAATTCATGTCCAACTTAAATTATGACGAAAATCAACTTTAACTGCTACCATTAATGGCACAAAATAAACCCACAATAAATTCAACAATTTTTATCAAATCAATTAGCGATGATATTGAATAACCTGTGACTAAATATTTATATAAATTGATTCATTTCATGCTTTTAAATTTAAACTTTTTTATTCAAACTTTTTATTTAATTAATAGTTATATATTTTATTTTAAAATTATTTCCAAAAATTAAAACAAACAAATATAGAAAAAAAAAATTAAGCTTCAACAGCAAAAAAATGAAATAAATACTGATAAAATTTTTGATGCAGAGTCAACAACATTAAAGAAAATATGTACATATAATGTAGTATGTATTTGAAATCGAGTAAAAAAAAAGAATTAGTTTTTATAAATAACAATTTATAAATATGTTTAATGAAATAGCCTAAACAAATTAATAACAATAGCCTAAACAAATCAATAATATAATAATAACATTCTTTATGTTTATCTCGATACAAAAACTTGATTATTTCGTTGTATTTTATATTTTTAATTAAATAATAGTTACAATTTTGGCTTCAATGAATTATATTCAAATTGTGATAATATACAAAATATATAAAAAAAAATTCAAATATTAATTTTTTATGATATTATTTATGCAAAAATATATGATTAAATTTTAAATGTCTAAATTAAAATTTTAGCAACATAATTTCACTTTAATACTTTAATTTTACATGTGAAAAATATTACATTTATTGCAAATTATTAATATATTAATATTATTTTTATGTTATGTTACATATACATATGTATACTTCCTACAAAATTATTTTTCACAAATAAATGGCTTCCAAATTATATTTTTTTTTTTTTCTTGAAACAATAGTATGATTTTATGCACTTATGGTTTATCAGTCCATTTAAATATGAATCAAAAAAAAAAATTTTTACAATGGAGAATTTATTGAATTAATGTTTTATGATAAATAAAATACCAAAATTTTATAAAATTTACTATCAAAAGAAAAAAATTATAGAAAAAAAAATCGTATTGCTAAAATTTTCCTATTTTCCATGGTACTTCTGAATTAAATCAGCAGAAATAAGTATATATGTATGGTATTTTTAATTAAAAATTTAAATTTAAACAGCAATGAAAACTATATTTCAAAACCCAACCATTACTCTCGTACTGGGATGAGTTTATGATTTTTCAAGTTTACTTCAAATATGTTAGTTAAGATACATCTTTCGTTACCAATTAAACATCAATATTAATGTGAATTATGAATGTTTACCATTTTTGAAAATGGGTCCAATAGTTTGTATTATGAAAACTTACTGTGCCAGCTTTACACTAGTATGAAAGTCCATCGGATTTCTTTTTTTTTTGGTAAACTTTTCAATTAAAAATAAAAAAGCTGTTAAAAGGAAAACTATAAAATAAAATTTAAGCAGTAAGTAAATGAAATTTTTAAAACATGAATGAGAAAAAAAAAAATAAATTTCAAGTTTTTTCAGTGACATTTTGAAAAATTTAAATATTTTTTATTTTTTTTAATTTTTGTTTGAATTCTCTAGTAGACTTACTATGATGACTTTGACGAAAATTTCAAATTTGGAACACATTCATAATTTTTTACATGACTATTATAAGCTATTTTGGCAAATAAAACAAGTAATTTTTGTTGGATTTTTACAAAAACATAAAACATTACGATAGTGTCAAAAAAATTATCAAATTGTTATTAAAAAAAATAATTAAAAAAATTCTTCAAAACAATATTTTATATATTGAAACAAATTTTTAAATTCAATATTAATTTGAAAATAGAAGAAAAATGAAGAAAGTAATTGAGTATAATAAAAAATTATTATTTATATACTTTGTATTTAATATTTTAGAAACTTGGTTTTGAAACTATTTTCAATTTTTATTTAATTTTTTTTTTGAAACAGTTCTATTTGATTTTTTTGATATGGCAGATAAAATATAATTAGATTCTATTTTAGTGATTAAATATTGATATTGGATTAAATTGGAAAATTTTGTGCAAATATATTTTAAATATAATATGAAATTTGATCATAAAACCAATTTATATTATTTATGTATATATATGTATGTATATATGAAGTAATTTTTAATTAATGATTTTTAACTTTTAATAGAATATACATGTAAACTTTTTTCATATTTGTTTTCTTAATTATATAATATATATTTTCATATAATATAATACAAAAAAAAAACATTATTTCTTCAACATTAAATTCTATTGCTTATATAATTTGCAAATATCTGTTGAAATTTTTTTTTTTTAGAAAAAACAATGAACACTTTGAATTTTTTTTTTTATTATTTGTTTTTTTGTATAATATAATTTAAATATTTTTTTTTCTATTCATTCAATATTGTTTTTTTTTTTTTTCGTCTACCTTCACAATAATTTTTATTTATTTTAATTTCTACTAATTGGAGACTAATTAATATATATTACAAAAACTCAGCAGAATTCTTTTTTTACAACATTATATTTTACATTTTACATTTTGCATTTTACATATAAATACATTTATTATTATTATATCAAGAAACTTCAAACCAATTAATTGTTTCATTTAATATTTTTAAATTTATTTTTATTGATACATTCTAATAAAAACTATAAATATATAATTTCATGAAAAAAAGTATGTAAAAATTTTATGATTTCTTCATCACAAATAATGAGGAAAATAAGCATTTTTATAAACTAATATTTTTATAATATTATATAACATAAATGAATGTGTTTTACAACTACATAATAATGTATACATATATATAACGAAAATACATAATGCTAAAACATAAGCATATAATAACATTTTTTATATTCAAACCTTACATAATTTTTGTTTTTTTTTTTACATAATATAGTACTACAATAAAATGATAAAAAGTTTGAATAAAATAAAAGCTATCTTGAATTTTTTTTTTTAAATATTAAAATTATATTTATAATAATGAATATGAAATCACTCATGAATTATTTATCTTTAGTTTTATATAATATTTAAAAAATAATAAAAAAAAAAATAGTATGTTAATGTTATTATTGGAACAATATTTATTTTGTTTTGTTCTCCAAGCACATATTTTAAATGGTTCGAAAATTACATTTTTATTATAATAATGAATTATGAATGAATTTACATAAAATTTAGTATCATTTTTACCTAATGAGTCTTACTTTCATTTCAAAAATTAATATATATATATATATATTTATAATAACGTTTAGTTCAATTTTAAATCAATTTCCAATAAAAATATATATATATATATATATAATATTAATATACATTATTTATTCTATTTATTAAATTAATTTTTTTTCACATAAATATTATTATTGATTAAATAATGAATAAATATTTTTTTTTGCTCCTTTTTTTGTTTTATCAATATACATAATATTTTAATAAAATTTTATTGTTAATGATTTTGAATGTAAAAGCAATAAATGATTTTATATAGTATATTTTGTTCACAATTTTTGAGTTAATTAAAATTTAAAAATTTAATTTCTAAAAATAAAAAAAAATAAACATAAAAATATTATTCCTTTTTTTTTTTTTTGTATATTATGTTCATGAATATTATTGTTCGCTTTTTTATCCTTCTATTAATTATATTAATATAATAACGATGTAAATACATTGTACGATTATATAATTGCATATAATATAAACATATTATTAAATAGCAATATATTATTCAATCTATTTTAAAATCATCCACCAATCGTAATTTCGGCATAAAATTTTTACGAATATTTCTACTACTACTTTATCCAGTATAATTGTTAAATTCTGATTTTTTTTTTTTAAATATGCTTTGATTGACATAAAATTCCACAAAAAAAAAAAAAATTTTTTAATCGAATTCATCTATTTTATTTAATTATTTTAAGCGCCCGAAAATCCATATACTTCTAGAACTCTTATTTCAAAATCACCTGTCGGGCATAATGGTGGATTATTAAATGTTTTACATGCATCTGTTTTACCAAAACGAATATTTTCATCCATCCAAATAGCTTGGCCTTCCCTAAAAAAAATTATACTTTTCTTAGTAATTAATTTTTATAAAGAAAAAACAAAAATTTTATTTACCCTCCACCAATTGTTATCATTTTTGAATCAGCAGCCATAAACAATTCTGAAGAATGTCCTAAGCTTTTGTCACCTTCTATTCCTACCCAAGGATATTTTGCTCTATCAGGATATAATGAAAATAAAAATGTTTCTCCAGTACCAAAATATGCCTGTCTATTACCCCGTTCGTCTTTTAAATTTCTTTCAAACCATCTCGTCGAACAATACGCTCCAAATACCTTAAAAAAAAGTATAAAATAAATCAAGAGATTACAATTTATACCGAACATATCCAAATAACTTTTAAAAAAAATTATAAAAATATTTTTTTACCTCATTATTACAAGTTTTAATCATCATTAATGTTGGCTCATGTTGTTCAACTCTAACATAAAATGTTGTTAAAGAGCAACCATGCTCTTCCGTTGTATAAAGCAATACCGGTTGGTACATTGTTATTCTAACTGGCAGCCATGACCAGAGTGTAAAGAGCTATAAAATATAAATGAATTTTATTATTTTCATACTAAACAAATAATTATAAAAAAAAATTAATTAATTTTTAAAGCAAATTTAAAATAAAAAAAACAGTACAATTTTAAAAAAAATTAAAAACCAAAAAAAATAACAAAAGTTTAATTTATTATAAAACATCGCTACATAAACAAAAAAATTTCTTTTTTTTTAAATATCTAGAGCGATACAAATATAAAAACAAAATAAATTGCAAAATAAAATAAATGATAACGGTAAACAGAAAAAGATATCCTGATCTTTTCGGATTCCGTAAATTGTTGGTTGAATTTAAATTTTTCAATTTTAAAAATTTGATTGCCCACTTAACTTGATACACTTTTCAATCAATCTAAGCGTTTTGGATAAGAATTAATTATTAATAATTTTAAAGATTGGTTAGTAATCTGCTGGTTGATATCAATATAAATATATATTAAATTAAGAATTTAAGGAACTTTATTCAGAAAATATTTTTAAACTTTTTATAAAAACAATCCTTTTTAAAATACAAATCATTTGCGCATGTCGAATGAAACGAATTAATTTATGTGTATAAATTAACACTGCTTCACTTATATTAAATATTATGTATTAAATAAAGTTTTACTGATAGTATCCGGAATAACTGGCGAATTCCAAATATTTTTTTTGTCATATTTATTTCCATTATATTAATTCTCTCAAACCATAAGCTTTTCTTTATATGAAGGTTCAATTCTATTTCTTTATTTCCGAAATTTTAAAGATTATGTGAAAATTTGCCGAAATTTTTAGTATTCATTTACTTAATTAATCAGTACAATAGATTAATAACATTCTTATTGACAATGCAATTTTTCAAACAAAATTTAATAAAAACCTGTTTTTAATATAAAATTTAGATTTCTTTTTATTTATATTCATATATGTATAATAATTATCAGACTTTCTTCTTTTATTTAATTTAAGTCCCTTAATGCAAGCAATTCCAAATATTAAGCTTTAAATATTAGCCGATTTTATTTCGAATTTTAGACGACTCAATTTTTATTTATGCTTACGCTCTGAAATCAATTTACATCTCTCTTAATCGAACAATAAAAAATTATAATTAATCACATTTAGAGTAAAAAAAAGTTCCATTATGCATTCATATGTGATTTAAATTTGGTTGCTGTTTGCTTTCAATTATTATAAGATTACTAACTTACTAACTTTTTATTATTTCAAGCTTTATTTTATATGCATATATAAAAACAAAAATAAGCAATCGTAAAATTATTAAAAACTCTTTTTTTTTCTCCTACAATAAAACCACACAAAATTAAAGAAAAACCTATTCTATATGGGTTCAATGATCGCTTTTACCTTTATATTAAAATTTATAATATTAAGCATTCGTTGTTTAATACTAAAAATTTAATTTTTAAAACGATTTCATTATTAATATTTATTAATTTCAATAAAATTATATAAGTACAATAATTTTTGTTTAAACGGCAACACTTGTTTAAGAAAATCCTAATTTCAATATTTTTTAAAAGTCAATACTAATTTCAAATTTTATTTCCCAAAGCTAAAGTTTACAAATAAATATTTTTATTTACTTATTTTAAAAAATAATAAAATTGAACTAAATTAACAAAATAATCATGAACTTTAATAAAAACACTAAAAAAAAAAAATATCTATATACAAAGAAATAAAAGCAATGGCCGGCCCTTCATAAAAAAAAAAATAAAATTAAATAATCAAAAGTATTATACTTTTATACATAAAAATACATAAATAAAGAAAAATAAAGGAAAATTGATATATATAAAAGACTACAAAACGAAAGGATAAGATAATTTTGTAATAACAAATAAAATTTTAAATTAAAAATAAATAAATTAATTTTCGATCGATTGAAATCGATCAATTTTAACAAAATACTATAAAACATAATGACACATGTGAACTTACTTCATCCTGATCACATATTTGACTTTGAAGTGCTTGAATGGGATAAACTCCCATTGCACGCACTCTATGCTCAGGAGATTGTTGACCCTAATTTTGTTTTATTTTTTAATTCATTCATAAAAATGATTCCAAAATGAGAGCAAAGCAATAATATATAATATATAATATAGAAAAAGATAATCAATGAATGAAAGTTATAAAATGAAAATAATTAATAAATAGTATTTTTATTAACAGGGTGTTTAAAAAAAAAATTCAATTGTGTTCTTTGACAAAAGCGTTTCCATTAAGTACAAACAAAACATTTAATTTTTTCATTTTTATATTAAATATATTTACTTTCATCAAAGAACACCAAAGAACTCTAAACAAATCTATAAAATAATAGAAAAAAAATGTCTGTTTTAAATTGTATTTGTCAAAATTTATGTAGTTAAAAATATATATAAATGTAATTATAAATTTGTGTGTTTGTTGCAGGCAATTTCGCCAACCCAAAAATTGATTTAAAAATTTTAATTTTTATATATTATGTAACATGTGAATTTACGTAAATTGACTACAATTCATTACTACATTCAATTTAAAATAAAACTCAAAAACTTGATATTTATCACACATATAACAAAGTTTGCATATCGATAGGTGTTGTGAGACACCATAATAAAATAGACTAACTATAATTTGAAAATATAAGTAAAAATGCTATACAATTTGTTGCTATACAATTTAGTAATTTTTAATTTATAAGCTGAATTTTATATTAATAGCTTATACATTATAATTCAGCTCGTATTATGCAGTTATTTTCAAATTACTTACACCAATAATTTCAGTAATTTTGAAGTCGGAAAAAATTTCTCATTCATTCGAACAATTTTTTTACTTTGAAAATAGGAAGTGACTTATTTTTATTAATAATTTTAGAAAAAAAATATATGTATATTTTTCAAGAAAAAGTAAAAATACGTAATAGTACATAGCTTCAAAATTGAAGTAAAATTGTAATTCAATATAATTCAGCAATTTCAAATCAAAAGCTGAATTGTGTATTAATACCATATACAGATATATTTTGTTTCAACACGAACTTCGGATATTATTTTGTCCTGCAATTCTACAATGCATAAGTACTCAATTTTTTTATTGTAATTTGTACAAATCTGTACTAAAAAAGAGATTTAATTTCTCCGAGTCGAATCGGTATTAAAATCAAATTTAACCGAAATCACGGTATTAAAAGAAAATTAAAAATTATTGGTTCTAATACACAATAAAGTTTTATTCATATGATCATATAATAAAAAAAAAAGGTCTTATTATCTCAGTAATATTGATTTTGTAATCAACTTGTTCTACTTGAAATTTAATACTATAATTTTCATCCATAATAACGATTTCATGCTCTATTTTAAAAATAATATGTATAATTATGAAATATCTGTTTATAATTATTATAAAATGTAATATGAAGGATTTATTTATAAAATTTTTAATTTTCATAACATTTGTGTGTTATTCATTCGATTAATGTGTTGTATTGAAAATAATGTTTAATATGTACATTAAGTATATTATCATTAATCATAGAGTAAGTAATAATACGATATAAGAGAAAAAACACATTTTATGAATAAAAAATTGTATACGCAAAATTGAATTATACTAAAATAAATAATCTAATTTAAACAAAATATTAAAAATATTTTTATGATACAAAAATACGAAATATGTTCTCTTATATTATTTTTTACTCTATGGCAGTATAGATATAATGAATTTTTATATTTATTAACACAAAATTTCAAGGGAATTATTCAACATTTATGATTATTTGAGCAATCACTATAATTTTTTCTTGTACCTTATCCTAAGTATATAAATTCAATATAATTCTTGTTTTGTTAATGAAAAGCATATTATTGGATCTTTAAGACATACTATAATATTTTTAAAATTATGTATTCAAATTCAAGAAAATGAAAAGAATAAAATCCATTTTCTACTCTCTGAAGATTGCAACTCATTTTAATTATTCCTCTTTATAAAATTAAAATTAATTAACAGATTAAAAAATAAAAATACAATTAAATCTTTTCACTTTTCAATAAGTCAGCAAATTGATCTCAATTCGGATTTATGTAGAATAGGAAATTGGGTCAAATATAAATGTAAAAGTGATGCTCACAATAAACACAATAAACGATGCATTCTATTATACACTCTTCAATTATACAATACTAAAATTGTGCAAATTTTCATTAACAATTTGTTTTATATTATTAAATAAAAAAAAACGCTTGGTTAATTTTTGTTTTATTTCAATGTTTAATTAAACATCCTACTATTACTTATTTTGTTCAAGTAAAATCAAATAAATCTAGAATATACTTGAAACAAGTAATTCGCCTACATCACATTTGGAAGTAATCGAATCATTGGATGAAGCTCCATTTATCTTTAACGGCTTTTAAATGAAAATTTTTACACTACTACAATAAAAAAATAAAAATATCAGTAGAAAAATACGGTCTAAAATGTCAAATTTTTAAAACTGAATTTCGACATGAATAAAGTAAACGAACAGAGTTCATCATATTTGTCAAAGCTAAGTATTTCAGCATAATAGTATAAGATTGCCGAATTTCAACACTGCAGGGTGTTAAAATTTTGTCACACATTTTATTTGTGTTGATTTATATTCATAAATTAAGAAAAACCACAAAAAAAAATAATATGTACTACTAGTTTGTAGTGTTCCCCACTAAAACATCGAATATTAATGGAATTTGATGGCAAATGTAAATTTTTTGCTGTCAAACAAATTGTTTGTATTCCTCTTTATCAATTCATTTTGTGTAATATAAAAATCACTTTAATTGTACGAAATCTTATTCGATTTTTTTTTCAAAAGAATCAACAAATACTAAAAGTTTTTTCTATAATAATTGCAAAGCGGAATATTTTTAATAAATCTAATTTAAATGTATTCATATAAATAATTTGCACTCTCATAAAACTAATTTTAAAAATATATTATGTATGATTATTGTTAGATTATTATTATTTTAAGCAAATATAACACAATTATATTAAAGCGCTCGTATAAATCTTGTGCAAAAATTAACCAATTTTTCAAAATAAAAAAAAAACTAATACGATCATAAAACACTGAAAACATAAAATTAATTCATTCATTTTAGTGTATTTGGCAAATATATTTAAAAAAAAAATACGCTAATCGTTTAAAATAAATAAAAAATCATTTCTAATTTGTAAAAATTATCAACAATATTGCCGATGACATAAATTAAATAAGGTAAAAAATATCATGAAATCGATATAAGCTAACGCATATAATCGATATAAGATCGATAAAAACCTCTAAAAACCACTATAAATTGGAGGATTTTTGATTATCCGGAAAAAAATTTAAGTATATAAGATAATTTTTACAAAAGCGTCAAAATTTTCGGGTAAAACGTTTTAAAAAACTTATAAAAATTGTAATTATTCTAAATATTTATGCCTCTATTTTAAGAAATTCAAATTATTAAGTAAATTAACTGGGTTAGTAAACATAACAGTATTATTTTATTTTATTTAAACAAAATACAAAAACATAACAAGTTTTTTTATTTTTTCAATAAATCGATTCAAATAATAAATAATTATTTGGCATACCAAATTACGACACGTTTCATGAAAAACTGGTCGCTATAATTTCACATTTTAAAGGAAGAAAAAAAAAATTTATAATTTTAACAAAATTTATAAAGGAAAAAGGAGAAAATAAAATTAAATAATTTTCTAATAATTATTTATTTTGTTATTATACTTAAAAAGCTATTGAAATTTTCATTGAATACTTTTACCTAACAAAGCTAATTACATATTATATACACAATATCCTATAAAAAACGTAAACATTATTTGAAAATAATACAAAATTTTAAAAAGTGACGACAATAAATTAAATCGAAAATTTCGATTATTAAAAATAAACCAGTGTGCTATGTGCTGCATAGCTTTAATAATAAAACAAAAAACAGAAATTGAAGTTATAGTAAAAAAATAAAAAATTCTGATACTAAAAGCGATCTTAGCAAAATAAAATTTCATACAAATCAAGAAAATATTCAGAAATATTGGAAATACGCTATAAACAGATAAAGGCGCTCATTCGAAGAAATCAATTCTTTATACATTTTGGTAAACATTAAATTGCTGCTAAAGCAATAAATAAATATGAACTTAGCAAAGAAGCAAATACATTTAAATGTGTTCGTATACTTATTTAAAATTTGAACTGATTTACTTAGGCAGAGGTTTTTTTTACAATAAAATCTGAATTAAATTAAAAAAATCAAAAATAACCTATTTTATCTTATTTTAATTTTCAATTTCAGTATTAATTTTATGAAATTCAGAATAATTTCAATAATAAAAATTTAAATAAAGTGAAATAAAAGTAAAATTAAACTAACTTAGAGAACATAATAGGAAACATTTATTAAATCTGAAAGAAATCTACTAGAAAACTATGAAATAATGCCCATTTAGAATTTGTAAAATAATTGTTTTTTTTAAAGAAATTACCACTGTTCTAATTTAGATTTTAGATACATAATTAGATACCATCAATAAAATAAAAAAATAATTGATAAATAGAGAAATAGAGTTTAAAGACAAAATTTGAGTACACAAAAATTAATTGCTAAACACTCATCTAATTTTATAATATCGTAGATTTGGTGTCAGTGAGTCATATTCCAAAACAACAAAAAAAGAATGAAGAAAAAAGATAAAGTATTATTATTCTTTCATATAATTATATCAATAGGCGACACATATTAAGGACATGCGAAAAAAATTTTATATATTCAAAATGAACAACCTTAACAACAACTGAGTCTGAAAAAGAGAGAATATTTCATTATAAAATGAAAGTTATACATAAAATCAATTCAATGATTTAACATTTCTGATTTAAAAAATATGTAAATTTTCTTTCTTATTTCTTTCTTATTTTCGTAACAAAAATCGATTCAACAGTTCATTCTATAGAAACTATCTTATTTCAAGTACTTCAATAAAAATTCATATGTATGTAATTAATTTTTCAGTACCCTAGACACACAAAATTTTTTATAACCATGATTATATTCCTAACCCTTCACTAAAATTAAACTCCAGTTATTATTAATAAAAATTAATAAATATTTCTTATAAGTATATAAAAAATAAAAATTACCTCTTTAATGGTCAATGTGTTCGACATCATTTGAATATTAACTTGTGATTGACTTGATGGTAAATTATCGCTAGAACGCGATTTAATTAGCTGTTTTGATCCGCTTATAACTGATCTACTTTTTAGTATCATTTCAGTCTTTATAAATATTCTAGATATATACGTTGAACTTAAATATATACAAAAAAAAAAGATTAAAATAAAAACTAATAAATAATTATAAAATTTAAAATAATATTTTTAATGTTTTAAGTTTGAATATTTAGCAAAGCCGAATGAAATCAATTAATTTAAATATTTCTCATGCATATTGTGAATTAAAATTTTTTGCCACAAATATAATAATGCGTATGTCAAAAAAAAAAAATCAAAAACAAAAGCGCCATCTTTCTGAAATTTTTACAGTATTTAAATAATTAATTGTGACAGTCACCGATAGTGTTATGACAAGTTTGAAATATGTTTGTAACAAAGTAAAACGTGCAATTAAAAAATTAGAATTAATTATTTTACAAGATTAAATTTCATCTTAAATGTGAAAATCGATTACGGCTTTAATACAAAATTATTATAACTTTTATACATTTTAAAATATATTTATACCTTAACGCCCTAATACTAAAGGCGGTACGTAATAATTTTGTAGGTGATACTTGTATATTTTTGCAAAATTTAATTAATACATTATCAATGTCATTTTTAATATTTTCAGCATTCCATTCATTATTTGATGAAGATGTTGATTGCTTATGGAATAATATGAGTATAGCTAATGCAACACGGTAAAATACTTTGATCCCTTCATGAAAATAACAATCCATAACACGTACTAAATGTTGAAACGGTAAACCAGCTAATATCCACCAACACCAATCCATAAAAATTCTTTCTAATTTTTGACCGGGACATATTCGTTGTAGATGAGCTACAGCAGATTTCTAAAATAAAAAAACAAATATTTAAAATTATAAGTAATTATTGCTGAATTATATTGAATTTTTAAAACTTATTTTGAATTTAAAATAGAGTAATGAAACTTTCTAAATTTAATTCTATTTTTTTGGACATAAATATATAACCAAATGTTCATGTCGATTTCTCCATTATGTCCTTTAACATAAAAATATTTTTTATTTACCGCATGCTTTTTTGCAATTTGCATCACCGTTTTCCATGTAACTTCATGTAATAATTTCGTTTGAGTAATAAAAACTTTTTCCTTGGAAGCAACTAAGGTAGCCAAACAATGATAACATTCCTCCTCTAAAACAATTAAAAGAAAAAATTATAAAATTAAACAGTTGTTTGAAATTACTATTAAAAAAATTTATTAAAAATTATAAACGTTACCGTAATTATTAACGTTATATAAAATTTGTATTCTCATCTCACCTGACATAAAATGCAATAACACAGCTGTAATTGGATATAAAATTGGACTGAATGTGATGTCAGGACATGCATAACCTAAAACATTTACAATACGATCAGCAACTGAACGTCCTTTTCGTGTTAAATGATATGGCATGCAATGTGATGAATCCACAAATGGTGGTAACATAATTGGCTTCTCTGGAAGTTCTGTTGTACCAAATACCTAAAAATATAATAAAAAATATAAATATTAATCAAAAATATTAATGTTACTTTTAAAATACATAATATTACAAAAAAAATATTTTTTATTTTAATTTTGTTTAATAATTTCATAAGACATTGAAACTCTTCAGAAAATTATCGCTAGTTTTACAAATTAACTTGCGATTAAAAACTTGGTTACTTTTACTGATATAAGCATGCAATTCTGGCAATTTTATTCCAAATTTTATGAATATTTTTTTAAAATTTGAACAATTATTTGAAATTTACACTTAAATCATATAAATTTAGTACATATTTGACATTGCTAATAAATAAATTACATTTAAATTCAAATACAATTAAAATAGAGTGCGAAATTAATAACTTGGATTTGATTTAAAAATTTTCTGAGGAAAAAAAAACTTTTAAGCTAAGAACATGTATTTAAATCTTTATCAATAAACTTGAAATTTATACTGGTCTAAACTAGAGCAGTAAACAAATTTAGCATATTTATGCATATTTACTCTCCTAAATTTTTATAGAAAAAATAATTTTAAATAGAAATTTTTTAAAATTACCTGATTAACCATGTCCCAATAGAATCCATCTAACATATTTTTACCACTTTGATGTTTATTACATAATGCTGGCCATAATTGAGATCTAATTGGTGAATTAATTGGCCAATTATTCTCACGAATTATTAGCTTAACATCACGTTTCCTACCTTGCTGTATTAAGGGTTGAATTTCAGCAAAAGTTTTTAAAATAATTTTTTTCCCTAAAATAGAAAAAAAGATAAAAAAATTAATATAAATATTTAGAATCAAATTTTTTTTTTTTTAAATTCTGTTGAAAGTTTTTATGTCAATATTAATATTTTATACACAAAGTCACAAGTACTTGTATAATATACAAGTACATATACATACACAAAAATATATAAAAATAAAACTAATTAGATTTTTTTTATATTTAAATGCTTTTTATTAATAAAAAAGAAGAAAAAATTATCAAAAGAGCGATTGTTTTCTTTTTTCTTATCTCTCACAAAATTAATTTTAAATAACTTAATTAAATAAAAAAAAATACAAACAAACTCAGTAAGTACACACATTACAATCGTTTTTGATAAGGAATAATCGTAGTTTCAATAAACTTGTCAATTTTATGTACTTACATACTTATTTATTTATATTAAGAAAAAAAGTAATAATTTTTCTAGATTAAAAATTGTTATACATATATTATAAATATACTCATACATACAGGGTTATTCGTCGAAAACACAAAAAAAAAACTATTTTTTAGGGTTTAGCCAACAATTACTTTACTGAGAGTTGCTTAAAATGTAAAATATGTTTTTCCGTCCGAATTTTAAGTCTCTAAATCTTATACATAAAATATGGAACATTTGCTTCTATACTTAATCCGTAATGAATAATGATAATTACTAAAAATAATTAACAACATTAAAAAATCCGTCTAATAAATCCACAGAAATACAATTTTTTAAAATCATTTTTTTAGATGTGTTTTCATTCCGTGATGCCCGAAAAGAAACCCGTGGATTTTTCCCTAATGCATTAATTTTTTTGAACCTACTGTTTATAATCACCCAGAAATTCTTTAGCTTTTCGAAAACGTGCATGGCTTCAGCAAAGCTTTTGATCACACTCTATTATCACCCATTTAATGGTTTTTGCATTTCACATTATCTTCTATCAATTGATTTGAATAATATTCTTAAAAAATCAAAAGCGATGAAGATTATTCTCCAATATAAAAGAATTTACAGAAATTTATTCAATTTTGTTTTTAAATACTGGAGTGCATTATAATTCTTTCTTCTTTGCTTTTACCTTTTCATTTTATTTTCTTTTTAACTTCAATTTCATTAAGAATGCATTATAATTTTAAATTCAAAAGATAATTTATGAAAAAAAAAAGATTTAAAAAATTTGATAAATCATCAATCGGCTTCAACGGATAATAATGTTGAGGATAATGAACTTATCAGACTCTAGACTCATTTTAGAAGATGTTACGCCAAAATTTATGTAATAAGAATTTCTTTGAAACTCAATTTTCATTTTAAAATGTTCTTATTTTAATAAAAAGAAGAGAAACTTAATAAACAATTGTGATTTTGTCAAAATTTATTTCATATTTTCAATTCCTCCTTTTTTTAATTTTTATTAAATATCATTGGTAGTTGGTTGATTGACGTGGCCGGATAAATCATTTATACTTAAAATAGAATAAAAATTTTATGGAATCATACACAAAAATTAGTACCTAACTGAATTTTGTAACAATGACGTTTAATCTCAGTTGTATTTGACTTTTAATTATACCTGAGTTGAAATAGAACAAAATTCAAAGAAATTTCTTTATTTTTAATTATGACTCACTTATGAAACAAAAATTTCGTAAAACCCCCTACACGTCCTTATAGCAACTTTGTTACTGTTATATACATATATATCTGTATACTTCTATTATAACTAAGAAATATGTATATTATATATATACATATACACACATACGTATATAGTAAATAATAAACGAAAAATTGAATTGTAAATGTTTAACAAGGGTAAACAAAAAATATATTCCTTCTTATTTTTATACTGACTTATTCTATTGAAAAAAAAAGGTCAGTTAACTAAATATGAACAAGATATAGGTTAAAATAAAAAAATCTACGGAAAGTTTTAAAATACTTTTAAAAGTTTTAAAATTTATTACTTACAATTTATTTTTGAGTTCCAATGAATTAACGTAAAATAATAGAAAAACTCAAAAATTAAATTCTATTTTAAGCTTTGACTTTTTGAAATTAATTTAAAAAGTGACAATACGTTGCTAAAATATTGTAAAATTTTGTTACTCTTATTTTTTTGAATATAATAAGTAAGACTTTCTAAAGAAATTGCATAACATTGACCAGGTATGGCAACACTGCTCTTATTTTTTGCCCTAGGTTTGACATAACAAATAATATTGCCGAGTAACAGTAAACTCAAATATGAACAACGGTATTTGAAATTAACAGCCTGATCGTGTATCACACTAATTTACTCATTCTTTATTCACTTTCAAATCATAACTCTCTGTATTTTCTAATAGATATTTCATTTTTTCAATAAGATTACTCTATAAGATTGGATTTTTGCATTTTTTCTCAAATTATCAACAGAAATTTTCAAAAACAAAGTGAATAAATTTTGTATACATTTTATAAAAAAAATAAACGAGATACGCAATACCGAATAATTCTTCTCACTCGAAAATTACAGCGTACTTAAATATATAATAGTTACTCACTTTTTTCTCATTTAATTGAGATTCACCTTAATTGTTTTAATTTTACATTGTTTTATAGCAAAATTACTTTGATCAAAATTGCTCATTCTTTATAACAGGAAAACTACCGAATAGAATGAACAATTTAGAATTTCGTCCGAAATACTAGTCAATACTAAAACAGACGCCGTAGGTTATGTTTATACTTACATACAAATTTTTTTTTTTCGGATGTTTTTTGTTTTCGGATGAAAAATTTTTAAATTATTTTATGGCAACACCATAAATAATATTTGAATACATTTTCGAAAATTTTTATCAACACCAGCTCAACTAACACTTAACTTAATTAACCTGATTTCCTGACTAAAATGAAATTATAACAAACATAACACAAATCACTAAATTTGTTGTATTGTAAATAAATAAATTGATTGGTCTCCATCGATATGAAAAATTTATCCCAAAAGGATTCTTTTTATTAATAATAAAAATCCTTTATACTTAAAAGTAATTAAAAATCAAAGGAAATGAATTAAAATCACTGTTTCTCTTTAGATTTAAAAAAATTGCTGGAAATAGTTTGTATAAGTAGGTCAGTAACAAATTATTTTGTTTTCGTCAGATGAATCAGCTGATTTTCCATTAAATCATTATTTTAATTTTAAGAATGTGGGTGAGTATTCATATTGATTTTTGTTATATACTTATATTAAAACACTCGAATAAGAGCAATCTTATTTTTTTTTATTTATTTTTGTATACTTATAGAATATAGGATCTGGGTAACCAAAAAACGTCAAATAATTAATGTACTTATTGGATATTGTCCTTCAATGTTCTCCATGAACAGAATAAATAAGATGGTGTAGAATTTATCAATGCGAGACGGTAATACTCATATGAAAATATTCGGCGTAGAACCTTGTGATTACACCGAAAATTTCACAGGTTGATATAGTCAAAATAAATAATATGGATCAAAATAAAACTGAAACAAATCGGAGTCTCGGTATATAGTGCAAATATATATACAAATAAGAATTGGACGGATTATACAAAAAATACGGGCCGAAATATACTCGTAATAAGTTTTACAAATATATCCGAGTAAAATTGAACGTTTATTTGATATTAAAAAAATTTATGTTACAATGTATAGCCCCTGTTTTGAAAAATACACATTTCTGCTAGTAATAGACAGGTATATACAAATAATTACAAATAGTAACAGGTATAAATAATTAAATGTTAAAACGAATATTTACTCTTTCTGTATCTTTTCAAAAATAATTAAATCTAATAAATTAATAAATTTTTTATGGATTTAAATTAAATTATAAGGAAAATTTGTTGTTAAATCTAGTAACAAAATTATAAAACAAAAAAAAAATAAGAATTATCTAAAAATAAATTTAAAACTGCTAATTTAAAATGTCATCAACAATGTACACTTCTTATATATATATATATATATATATATATATAAGCTAATTTTCTAAATATAATAAAAAAACACGATCATGTCACCCACAAGTATTTGTACTTGGTACTAAAGAATACAATTAAGCCATAAGTATACAAAAAATTTATTATTAACTGCCATGATATTTTTTTTTTCAGGTACAGGTGCTGCGAAAAATCAAATACATTGACATTATAAAAATGTAGAAACCAAATAATTAACATAATTAAGCATAATTTTAAAAACAAAAAAAAAATCATAAAAATTACAGCACATGTGATGGTTTATAAAAACACAACACAAATTATACGTCACCATCAATCAATTACTTATTAAAAATCCTCTTGTTGGCGGTTTTTTGGCAGAATTAAATATTGCAATGCAATCCAATATCTGGTTAAAGTAAATATTATATTGAACGTTGCTGTTGAGCAGGAATAAAGGAAGCTTTCTTCAGAGCTACTGGGGATGGATCAATATCGAGTTCGTGGTATTACTGATTTCCTCACCGGGAATTTTCCGGTGAAATATCATTTATTACTGGTCCCTGGTCAAATCTCCAGGTCTCCCTTTTATATAGATTCTGCTAGGATAATATGGTATATAGAAGGCAATCACACATATATTGGGTGACTCTTCCGTTCTCTTCTTGGAAGCGCAGATAGTTTGAGGGGTACGTTCTCAGTGTTGTGGAGCTCGCGATATCTTCAGGTCGACTGACCCGAATATATCATCTGAGACCCGAATAGTATAAGTTATATATAATGTATGTAGCCATGGCTAGTTGTGGTCGTCGGAGGGAAAATGTTCCGTTACCTACATATCTCTTCAGTAATCTGCAATTTACAATCTATCAATATATTAAAAAAATGGTCACCTTGTATAAAGGTTTTTTCATAGCTTTGCAATGAATTTCTTATATACCCTTGCCGTGTCTTTTATTATTAGTGCAGATGATTTTGAAAGACTGCGGATAGCTGAGATGCTTATGTTAATTAAAGAATAAT